CTAGTTTTTCCAATAAAATCTGACTGTGTTTTCCTGCTAACTCTTCATAACACTTTGCCACCAAATCTGCTTCAGTTTGGATAGAATTAAAGCTTCGGTTTAGTTAGCAATAAACATGTCAGTCGATGTTACTGTCTTGCCGTCAGAGCTATTGGTTGCACCACAACCGCTTATTGGTTTCTGTGGATTAGACACGACGCACAATGTTGTACACAAAGCTATCTGGGATGCGTTTAGCACCAATAGAAAGGCTGATAGGTAAACATATTGTTATTTTTTAATACTTACACACTAATTTTTATGTTTTTTTTTTTAATTCTAGAGCTACCGTGCAGTTCAAGCTGCTGCCACCGGGTTATGAATTTCCTGTGGCTAAGCCGAAACGCGCTTCCTATGATTGGTACCAACCAAAAGGTATACTTAAAAGAAATTGGATGCTCAAGCATTTGCATGTATTGCCTGCGGTAGTTGTGCTATTCCAAGATATGGAATGGAACGATCCGCAATGGTCTGAGAAGCAGGTCCAATGTGCGTCCACAATTCAAGGCCTTAAGAGCGCATTACAGGTATGTATTACATTTTCTTTTAGTGATTATTGAATAATACTAAATTTTGTATCTATTAAAGGAACGAAATACGCGCTTATGTCTGGTATTATTGCAAAAGTCATCACCGCTGCCGCCAGGTGAAGATTTATTAGCTTCTGAACGTGCCGCCAGTTTAACCACAGCTTGCGGTATCAATAGCAAAATGTTGTTTATCCTGCCGCATACGGAGCATTTAATGGGTGCGTAAAGCAAACGAAAATATGTTCAATTTAATTAAAGATTTTCTTTTTTGCACAGGCTACACACTACGCCTGGAATCTGCGTTCCTAGACATGGCTCAATCCTACTATGCGCTGATGTCTAAGCGTGTGCGTGGTCATCGTGATCATTTAACTGTGGCCCACACGACACTCAAGATTCGTCATCAGTTCAAATTAGGGTTTGTTGCGGAAATAAGACAGGACTTTAGTACCGCATTGAAGTAAGCACTTTTATTGTACAGTTACTAATCCTCAACTACGTATATTATTTTGCCACGAAGTAACACCCAGAAAAAAACATCAGCCTATAAAATATATATATATAGGTGTGATCAACGTGACGAGCTGAGGCGATTCAGCTATGTCTGTCTGTTAGTCTGTATATACGCGAACTAGTCCCCAACACGTTCTTTTGTACCCAAGCAGCTATTCATTTGTCGAAACCGCCGTTTTTTGACAAGATGTCTTCACGAAATTTGGTGTGGATAATTGTCCAACGGTACAATCTCCGAATATATTACTCACATCGAACCACTCTAGCCTATAGCTGCTATACAAACTATAGAATGATAGATATAGAATTTGTGAAGGTCCAACAGAAGATAACCTATTTTCTTGTTAAATTATATAAAAAAAATTTTAAAAGTAAACTAATTTATAATTATATTTTTTTTCAGGCATTATACTCAGGCTTACGCTACGCTCGATGAGATACGTATAACCGACACTAATTGCCTTGAAATGAAAACTATAGCCGGATTCCTGAATTATAAACTATGTCGGTTAATGTTTAAGTTGAAAGTGCCGCGTGATGCAATCAATCATTTTATAAGTCATATAGAGAAATATAGAAATCGTGTAGGCTTTAAGGACTTAATATTCGAACACTATGCCTGGCTGAGTACGCAGTAAGTCGGTTAATTATAAAAAAAAATATACATATATATATATATATATATTATAGTGAATATATATTTTAAGTGAATTTTTACTATGCAATAATTATATTTCGGCCTACCTTTTAGACATAGCGTATTTGCGGAACTGTTTTGCGAGGCGATCAAAAATGGTTTGCCTGCGTTGCAAACTCAAAATCCTGGCATTTATTACAATAAAGCAGCAGAATATACTAAAAAGCGCAAAGAGGCATTTCTTGAAAGTAACGGTGAATAAGCATTTTTTTTTAGGCATAAATCAAACTGAAATAATATTAATAATTTTCTTGTAGCGATGTTACTAAGCCCCACAGACCTTAACGCACCAACCGGCATACAAAATAATAACTCATTGGCATTATACACGGAGTTTTTTGGCATACGTGCTGTCAAAACTGGCGACCCTATCTCAGAGCAACAAACGAACTTGCTTATACGTGAGAATGAAAAATCGTTCAATCACTCGGTAAGGAACATTAAGTTTAAGTATGTAAAAAATATGAACCAATAATTACAATTATTTAAAATTACAGAACGCCATAATAAACTTACTTAGCTTAGCACGTGCACAGTTCAAAATTTATAAATGTCCACGATTTCGTAACAAACTGGCAATTGAGATGGCCGAAGAGTATTACAAAAGTGGCGATCATGCCAATGCATTAACGTTAGTACTACTACAAATTTCAAATAATTGAACGCCTACGCTATAATATCATAAATTTATTTTCAGGCTTTACTCAGTCATGCTGACAGATTATCGGCGCGAACAGTGGTCCTCTATATTCTCAGATGTGTTGTTGAAGACATTGCGTTGCGCCTTCCTAACAGCTTCTATAACGGACTTTATAGCTTGTAGTATTGAGGCTTTAGCGCTGCGCGTTAATTGTGAGCAAAGCGAACGAATAGTTGTGCTGGAGAATCTGTGGAAAGTTTTTCAAGTGCGTATTAATAGTCACTCTAAATTAAATAAGAATAACTATACCCTGAACATGGTATATTAAGTTTGTCGCGAATTTTATAATACAAAGAAGGAAACGTCGAAGACCATATAAAATCTATACATAAATCAAGTTCTATTATTATAGCTACTGTGATACTGAATTTAAATTTTTCTTGTTTTTTTTTTTTTGTTTATTTTTTTTGTTTATTTTTTTTGTTTATTTTTGTATAGGGCGCGGCGCCCATCTCTCAAGGCCAAAGTGCACCTGAAATTATAGAGCGTTGGGACAATGCTTTCTCAGCTGCAAAGTCGCCCATTACAATAGATATGGATAAGCTCACCAAGCTAATAGAAATGTATGTCACTTTCGATCATTTGGAGTTGAAGAATGACGATACCATCAATGTGCAACTAATTATTAAGTAAGTTCGAAAAATTATGATTGAAAAAATAATGTAATGCCCCAAAAATGTTACTCCATTTAGGCTGCTCACCGATGTACCTATAAAAATACGTCACTGTGTCATCATACTGACAGATGGCACACACTTTTACAAATTACCAGCTGGTAAATGTAAATCATTCCAGTGTTTGCGTGAAATGCATGAAAATGAAAAGCATAACGAACAGCAACAACAACAAGCGGAAATTGCAATACAACACTTCGATCCGAACTTGAAACTAGAACCGCATCTCTACTATCAATTGCATTTCTACACCGAAGCGTATCAATTTTTGGAAAACACGCAATTACGTGTGGCACGCATTGAAGCACAAATGGGTTCGGAAAAATTGACTGTACATTTAACAAAATCAGCATTTTTTGCACGCCATCCATTTCGTCATTACAGTCGTAGCAGAGATCTGGATGATAATATTGAAATTAATCAAGTGTGCTATGTTACTCCCACGTAAGTTGCATCACCATCCGGAAAATGTTTATTTTTCGTATTTATATTTTTTCTAAATTGCTTGCAATTTTTATAGATTCCATTTGAATGCGCATTGCAATTTTGGTAAAGAAACGCAAATGCTAGTGAACGAATACTATCCCATAGCGACGACAATAAATAATCCGTATAATGTTTTCCTGCAAAACGTCAGTCTCAACATAAGTGTGCCGAATAGTTTGCGTAATCAAGGTAAGTTTCATAATGATGAAAAGAGAGCATACTATAATCTATTTTAGTTAAAGAAGATTTCAATATGTAATTCTAAACAAAAAAATTATTATCTATACAGTAATAAAATACTACCAAACCTAAACGAAATTAGATACTGTAAACTGATTCAAAAGCATGAAAAAGTGTCCACTTCAGTTGCACCGAAACTAGAATGCCCTAACGTATAAATCGTAAATAAAAAAGTTTCCCATACAAAGACTTGATTTTGAAGGGTAGGTTTGTATGACCGGTATACGCTATATTGGTCTGTCTAAACAATTTGTGCGAAAATTATAGTGTTACCTCGTACCGTAATCCATACAAAATTTCAGGAAAAATCTCGTCAAATAAAAAAGCTTTCCAATTCAGTAGTTAAATTTGTTCGTTCCGTGTGTATGGCAGCTATATGCTATAGTGGTCCGATCCGAACAATTGCTTCGGAAATTATACTATTGCCTTCGGCAATAATCCATGTCGAACTTTGTGAAGATATCTTGACAAATAAAAAAGTTTTCCATATAAGCACTTGATTCCGATCGTGCAGTTTATATGACCGCTTTATGCTATAGTGATCCGATATCGGCCCTTCCGACAAATGAGCAGCTTCTGGGGGGGAAAAAAACGTCTGCAAAATTTTAGATCGATATCTCAAAAACTGAGAGACTAGATTCCGTACATACAGACAGATGGACAGACACACATGACTAAATCGACGCAGCTCGTCATGTTGATCTTTTATATACATTTTTTTATAGGAACTCCGCGTTTCCTTCCAGGTGTTACAAACATAGTGGCAAACTTAATATACCCTGTTCAGGGTATAAAAACACTTTAAACTATAACTTCCACTCGGAAGTCTTGTAGCATATCACAACCGATTTACAGTGACTACTTAAATCTTTATAGGAAGTTTATTATAGTACTTGCTTTATGGACAAATATGAAAAAAAATCGTGAAATTCATCAGCCTTCTAAGGGTGGTAAGAATTCGTTTGACACAAAAGGGTAACTCAACTCAACTTTTAATTTAATTTGGTTTTTTACTCAACAAATTTTTTACTCATCAAAAATTCATGCTTGAACATAACTACAGCTGTACTTCTTCCATAAAACAGACATTGTAAATACTTAATAAATAAAACATAAGCTTATTAAATTTTTCCAACTACGAGTTCGGGTAAATATTTATTGCGGTAAACATAACAAAAGTCCATTAAATATTATTATTATTGTGCTAATGCCTGGTTTATAAATCTTCGTACCATCGGTACGCTCGTATAGACACCAGGGAAGTTTGGACGTGCACAGCCGTTACCAAACGATATAATGCCGCACACACGTCCATTAGCTATCGCCGGGCCACCGGAATCACCCGTGCACGCGTCTCTACTCCCAGGAACGCCAGCACAAAACATGGTCCTTGTTATATTTTGAATACCAGCATATTGTCTTCTGCATCTGGGCTTAGGAACAACAGGCACAGTTACTCTACGCAAAACTCTTGATACATTACTGCTATTTTCCGAAGTCGTACCCCAGCCAAATACTCTCAATCTAAGGCCAGGAGTCAAACTTTGATTGCACAGTCCAATCGGTTGTGCATTCGTGCCATTGATAGCTGAGGATAACCTCAATACAGCCACATCCATTCTTTTAGTTACTCTGTTGAATACACGCGGTACAAACGCTCTCGATACATTGCGTGTTATGCCCGTCTGTCCTAACCTAGTAGTGTTTGCATGTACGGTAAAAAGAGCGCGTCTCCTGCCTTTGATACAATGTGCAGCTGTCAGGACATGCGTTGTCGATATCAAAGTACCACCACACCGGAAGGAGCCATTGAAACGGATTTGCACCATATATGGTGCATTTGCAACGGTCGTAGCTTGACCACCAACAATCCGATCACTAACCTGTGCTGGTGTTCTGTGGCATAGCCACAAAAAGATGAAAGCAGAAATCACTAACTTCAAGTGCGTGTGCGACATTGTAGTGCTTTGCGTTGACTGTGGCTGACTAGCGTCGGAAATTTCCTTAAATTGCGTAAAGTGCGGAAGTAATCGCCGACTGGAAGTAGGAAGCAACTGTTCAAATAATCTATACTAAAAACTACGTTCATATTAAAATACGTAAATTAGGAGAGAGAATGTTTTTAGCCAAAGTTTTAGCAATCAAACGTCTGTTTTTAACACCGCAAAATACGTTTTGAAATGCGAAAAATTCCACTAAATATTTGCTAGACAATATTTACAATTTACTCCAATTAGATAATACCTAAAGACGTTGTAAGAATCGTTCACATAAGAAATTTTTATATTTTCGCAACATCTTGCTACAGAGTATAATAGTTTTGTGCACCTAACGGTTGTTGGTATCACCTAAAAATAATCGAGTTAGATATAGAGTTATATATATATATATATATAAATGATCAGAATAACGAGACGAGTTGAAATCCGGGTGACTGGCTGTCCGTCCGTCCGTCCGTCTTTATAAAACGTCTTGTCTTGATAAAACGTGTGTACCAAGTTCCTTGGCAGCATAAGAAGTTTGCTATTTTAGATGGAGGTAATCGGACCACTGTCACGCCCACAAAACCTCATTAATCAAAAACCTATAAAATGCCATAACTAAGCACTAAATTAAGATATAAACCTGTAATTTAGTACAGGAAATTGCACTGGGGAGGGGCGTCTATAATTGAACATTTTTTTAAAAATGGGTATGGCCCCGCACCTAATAACTTTAATGTATATCTAAACTATACGACCTATAGACTCAAATTTGCGCAGAATACATATTTTGAGTGTGAAAATGGATGTAATCGTTGATAACCCCGCCCACTCCCCACATAACGGTTTTGTTAAAAACTACTAAAAATGCGATAAATCAATAACTAAATGCTTCAGAGGCATTGAATTTAACATGCGGTATGGTACGAGGAGATTGCATAGGAGCCAATGTAAAAATTGTACGATGGGCGTGGCGCCGCCCACATTTAGGTGAAATTACATATATCTCGGCAACTACTGGAACAATTTCAACTAAATTCGGTACATAACATTCTTCTGACGATTTTAATTTACAGTGCGAAAATCGCAATACGACCACGCCTACTTTCCATATAACACAATTTTAAATTTCATATGATTCATACCTGATAAAATATTCGTTTGAATGTCAAAAATGGGCTGAATCGTGTCAATACATCCCCAAGCCCTCATATACCTAATATAAATATTTTCGAACTTCCGGCTTCTTTCATAGCGCTTATATCGGTCAATATGTGAGCTATCTTCATAAAAATTAAATGGATGTATTTTTCTAACAATTGTGCATTTTTATGTCTAAAATAAGTAAAAACGGGCAAAACTTGCCCGAGCCCCCCATATAACTATTCAAAGAATTTTCAAACTCCGGTTGATTTTACTTGATATAAGTTGGTGATGGTACGTGAGGTACCTTAATGGAACTCAAAGAGCATTTTATTCTGTTAATAGTATGTTATATTGCCAAAAAAATAGATAAAATCGGGCCAATACTGCGCTTATCTCTCATATACCTAATATAAGATTTTCAAACTTCCTGTTGGCCTTATGCTATATATGTATGTATATCAGTCAATATATAAGATATCGTAGCAAAATTTAATGAACGTATAATATTGGATATACTATAGTTTATTGCCGAAAATATGTGGACTTAGTCTACGAATCATCCCAACTCCCAAATACTACTTATATTGATTTTCGTTATTCTAACAAACCTTATGCCGAACATGTCGTTTAATGTGTGAGTTATACATATATTTATAAAATTTCTTGAAAATATGCTCTCAAGTATACCTTAGCAATGTCAAAATAAACTCAATCAACCCATTCTTTTCTCTATCCCCAGCATAGCCTGTATAATAATATCCGATTTTCCAGCTGACAAAATGTGTGATACTTTAATACAATTTAATGAAAAAGTTTTCTTAAAAATTTTGTGAGAATATATTATATAAGAAATTGGTCTAGACTTTGATCCAAACCTTATATCCCTAAAATAATGAATTGCTATCCTTTGGTCGGCGTTTTCACATAAACTCATTACATTATGGCAAATTTGGCTTATTCCGTTCAGTTTATATCTCATATATTTTATTTAAAGATGATTTTATTATAATTTTAGCTGACGCGGAGTAAAATATATTAATAAAACTAAGTGAGTCTATAATGTATAATATAACTTAATCAAATACCACATTTAATTATAATCCATTTACGATTTCGTCTAATAATGAATGTTGAATTGTTTTGCAATATTTTTCAATATAAAGTTTTACTAACACTTGAAGGTATTTCCCGGGTTTTGATCTTTGCGAATAGCAAAAGTATTAAATTTTCAGTTGTAACCGAATTTAGCACTTCCTTACTTGTTATATATTCCAAACGATATCAACATTTTTTTATATTTATTTGGTGGTAACGTATTTGCTTGTTAGTAAATATTATACACAAGCCTGTTGAAAATGGTACTTTTTCATTTACCACTCTTAAAATAAACGTTGAAAACAAAAAGAGTTAAATTAAGTATTATTTATGTAATAAATTAAAATATATATTTGCTTGCTATATAAATAACACTTAAGCGTTTATACTGTAATATTATTATTTAAGTCAGTACATCAAATATTGAATTACCCTCAAATGACCTAACATTTAAAAAATATTGAATTAACTACGCATGCCCAAAAAATGAAATAAACCCTTAGCAACAACTATTTAAACCAGCTGAACTTGTGTAATAGTCGCGTCTTATACTAGCGCGATCGTAAATTAAGAAAAAATTAGATTTTGAAAATGAAACAGCATGTTCCTAAGGCCATAGACCGGGGTAATTAAGTTTTCAAAAAAAATCATAACAGGAAACCCATTTATTTGAAACCCATTGGGAAAGAAAGGTACAATACCCACAAAATTAAAGGAAAAATAATTTACAGGCTATCTGAGGGCGAGAAGTGGAAAAGTAGTTGGGTCTCATCCACTTCTTGATACCAATCTCAGCAGGGTATATCAAATTTGACACGAAGTTTGTAACACCCAGAAGGAAACGTCGGAGACCCCATAAAATATAGTTTATGTATATAAATGATCACTGTTGTGAAGACGAAGTAGTTCGTAGTAAATATTAAGTGAACATATGCTTAAAATTACATACACATACATAGATATGTATGTACTTCTTGCAACCCTGTAAACTTAGTAGTATTGCTTTCTCTTTCTTTTTATCGTTCACACATTGTATTGCTTTTGTACATATTCAAATAAAGTCAGCCGTTATTACCATATATCCTCGGAACTTTAATCACCATTAGCCATGTCCGTCTGTCTGCCTGTATATACGAGCACTACTCCCTTAGTTTTTAGATATCAATCTGACATTCTGCACACGTCCATTTCTTCCCACTGAACAACCAAAATTAAGTTCTTGTATGGAAAATCTTTTTATTTAACGAGACATCTTCACGAAATATGAGAATTATTATTGGCTAAGGCAGTATACAGTATAAGCTCCGAAGAAATAGTTTAGATATACAGCTCGCATACAAACTGACCGATAAAAAACAAATTCATTTCATTCTTTAATTAAAAATTTTTGAGTGTAAGGTATTATAGCTTTGGAGCAGACGAAGTTAACGTTTTTTCTTGTTTCCGATTTCTTTACTTAAAATATTCCGCAAGATTCTAAGAATACTGTAAAAGCGAAAGCAGGCAATAAGGATATGGACTAAATGTATATGTAATTGCATTTCATGCTTGTTATCTTGTAAATTTAAAGGAAGCAAAAAGTAATTAGTCTGATATATCAAATAATTAATGGTCTGCACATTTGCATAATCTAAACTTCGCTAGCTCTCAAGATCGCCATCTACAAGAACTAAGTGCTTTGTGTACAGCTTCAAATTATCTTGTGTAAACACATACATATATGTATATGCATATATAGCACTAAGCAAGTGTAGCGCAGTTGGGAATTCTTAATATACTTAGTTATTAAATTAATTAAAATCCACTCACCAGTAGTTATTATCACATTGCTTGCTTATCCTGAGCGTTATATTACACGACACACCGATCATTATAACAGATTTCATACATTTTTTTGACAAGACACAAAACCACTTTTATTTTTTTCACTTATTCACCGATCACCGCTCAGCAATATTGCTTTTATACACACCACAAATAACTCTCGGACTTATTGTATACTTGCTTTCAAATCAAATAACTCAATATTATCGATACCTTGAAAAATGTACGGCAATTGTAATAACATTTAAAAGAAATTAATAAAGCTTTACAAATTTGCAAAAAAAGCGGCTAAACGTTTTCACTCGCACCGACGGAAACTGACAGCAACAAATGCAAGGTAGCCATAGTTAACTGTATTTAGAGTTGCATTTTCTTTGAAATAAATTTTAATGCAAGCAGAAGTATAATTTATAATTGAATGTTAATCAATTAAAATGTGTGTGAAATAATTCAATAATTTGCAAAAAAATTTCCAAACTTATGCCAATGTAAAACAAAAAAAAAAAAAAAAAAAACAAAGGAAACTAAAAATATAAATACATGTGTATTTATAATATTTTTTAATCATAATGTGTGTGTAGAATATCCAACCATGCATGTAAATAAAAATTTAACTGCGTTTAAAATATTAAATAATGCATTTATAAATATTTATAAAACTTATTTTTAATATTATCCTTTATTAACAACTTTTCACCGCAAAGGTAACCCCTCTGTTATGTCAAACTTCCGCCGCCATTTGAACAGTTCCGATTATGCTTCCAAGTCGTGAGTGTAAAATTTTTGAAAAGTTTGATTATATTAAAAAAATGTGTTAAACTTAATATTTTGTTTAATTTACAACTTTGTGATATATTTTCGTTTAAATATCAATCAAAAGTATCGGTATTTGAAGTTTTGACACATGTTTTCCATAAAAAATGTTGTAGCGTCATATAAACAGGTGCAGATGGCTCGCGATTGCTCGTGAGGACATATGAATTGAATAATAGAAGTGTGTGCGGTAAAAATGTTAACAAGGCCAAATATTCTAATTAATACTACAAAATATGTTTAAAAGAAGAAATTTTGTCTAAAATATTCGCATTGCAAATAATTCTGTGAACTGCAACCGGCAACAAGCTTTGCGTAGAAGCAAAATATAATATAATAACAGCAGCGCCATCTCTATGTAAATAGCTGAACTTTTACTGCATTTGAATTTATTGTAGCAATACCCTTCACAAATAAAAAAAGTTTCCATAAAGAGACTTGAGTTTGATCGTTCAGTTTGTATGGCAGCTATATGCTATAGTGTAACTCATCTTCCTGATCATTTTCTTCTTGAACTGGTATTTATAAAAATTACAAAATTACAAAGGCTTTAATAATATTGCAAATAAATTTTATTCGGCAGATACATATATGTGTGTATATATTTATTATATGAACGCATTATAATATATTATTTTTCTAACTTCAATTTATTGGCAGTGTTGCATTAGCAGTTGTTTCACAAAAGCATTTACACGTCGACTAGCCACATTAGTATAGACGCCAGGATACTCCTTGCGTGCACAACCGAAACCCCATGAAACAATACCGCAAACTCGACCATCATACACAACCGGTCCACCCGAATCACCAGAGCATGAGTCCCGTTCACCCGGTATAGTGGCACAGAACATTGTACTGGTTAAGAGAGCCTTACCCAAATATGCCTGCATACAATCACTCTTGGCAACAACGCGCACAAATGTCGTACGCACTTGATCCGGCGGTTCATTGTTATATTCACTGGTTATGCCCCAACCACTTATTTTCACAAACTCATCGCTGGCAGGCTGTTTGTTGCACAAACCAATTGTAGAAATATTTGGTCCACTCAATGGCTCCTTCAATTTTAAAATAGCCACATCCATATCTAGTGTTGAGGTTGAGTAGAATGGCGATACAAAATGTTGCTCCACCTGACGCATCACACCCATTTCGGAGAGTCGGCTTACGCCTGCGTGCACCGTTAAATCCGCCGCTGGCACATTCTTCACACAGTGTGCTGCTGTGAGTACACAGCGTTGCGTTAACAACGAACTGCCACAAGTGAATTGACCGTTGCGCCTCAAATTCAGCAAATATGGCACCTCGCCGATTGTAGTCGGCTGGCCACCCACTATTTTACCATCCAGTAGTGTGGAAAATGTGTGTGCTGCACTATTTGAAACAATTTGCAAAAATAGTAAAATAAATCCTTTAGTATGCGGAAAACAACTGTGCAGCTCGAAATGCATTTTCAAAATCCAGGAAAAATTTTTATGCGATCATTGGCTGCTAGCGATTTCCACATTAAAAACAAGTTCTATTGAATATGCGTATAATAACCGCAAAGTATTCTTTCGTGATTTTCATGAATGCAAGTTTTCCGATCCTTTGTATTGTAATGCTATTACAGACGCGTGTTGAGCAATCGAACTAAATTAAATCTATTTATTTAGCGCGTTTAGAAAATTATACCAATTTAAATTATTTTATTTAGTATTGTTGCATAAACATAGGTACATATTTGTATTTCTACAAATTTAGGGGGGTTTCTCTTTATGAACTATATCGTTCGTTCTGCGGCTCGTGTAGTGCACTAACTGCTGTCACATTCGAAAAATTTAAATAAATAAATACTAACAGCAGGTTTGCGAATTTTTATATTAATTTCTAAAATTGAAATTAGTAATTTTTAAATTTTCAAAACATTTTGGATTCAAAATTTACTTTTTAATTGCAAAATCGAAATAAAAATTTAAAATTTAATTTTTAATACCAAAATCAGAAATAACAAGCAAGCAAGAGCTAAGTTTAGCTGTAACCGAACATTTTGGACTCTCGCAGGTGTTTTTAAAACTTTTTATTAAAGTAGTGGAAATATTGCCCTGATTTCATCCATTTTAGGCAAGAAGATGCACTGTTATTAAAACGAGGTTCTTTCTGAATTCCATTAAGTTTTCTTACATATTGACCGATAGATGCGTTATAAAGTCAACCGAAAGCTCGAAAATATTTATATTAGGTATATGGAGGCTAAGGGAAATATTGACCCGATTTTACCCATTTTTGGACAGGGACATGGTGTCATCATTAAAATATTCTCCCCGAATATCAATACTAGATCTCATAGATTGAACGATATGTGGAGAGTGGGCGTGGTGATAATCTGATTTTACTCATTTGCACAGTGTATGAAGAAATGCCAAAAGGAATCCTTGTCAGCAAGTTTAGTTGATTTGGTTTCAACCCACAAGTGTTCTGTCAACTCTTCTCGTCATCCTGAACATTTATATACATATATATGTTATACTCTATATCTATCTCTAGACTCTCCAAAGCGAAACAATCATGAAGGAAGTGTTTAGTCCATTATACCCGGCCATCTTCCAGGAAACTGCTATCGTTGGCATCACGTACCATGGCTAAACATAAGCGTTTCATCTAGCAAAAAATAAACTCAACTCGCTGAGAAGTTGTCGGGTTTAGACCGCACCCTTAGTGAGCTCAGCCTATATCGCTTTCCTGTTATTGGACTAAACTCGTATTTCTCTGAAAGAGGCAGTACTTCGAATACATCTCTAATGCTTTGGAAGCCTTCCTAAAGTTGACACTAAAGTTCAAGAAATTAGAATCCTTCGCAAGAACTTATCAAAAACGATATTTGGGGAGTGGGTTAAGATATAGATTTTAGATAAATGGCGACTAGACAAACATATAGATTTGACAACAAAGCTCATTATGCTTGATAAATCATGATCATATATTAACGCATCATTGTCAAAAAAGGAGCACTAAGTTAAAGATACCAAGTTTCATTTCCATATTTTATGTTTGAGCCATACCTTAGAAATATGAAGGCAATCCTTTGATTGGTTAGTCACTACACTAGAAGACACGAGCTCATTCAAATGCTTTACTACTCTTAATTGGTTCCGAAGTAAAGGAAAAATTCCACAGTTTGTGCTTTGGATGAAAGCCAAAGCTTACATTAACTATGACGCTGGTGGCTTTAAAGCCGACAGTTTCAAAGTTCAAAAGCTAATTTCTCTTGTTAAGAGTCAGGGCTCACCCGATTTTAGATTCGTTTTATTTCCGGCATGCTAAACCATTTACATTTAATATATACAAAAGTGATTACATAACTATTGTGTATTTTTAATAAATAACTACATTTAAATAATTACAATATCTTTAATCTTAATAGTATTATGTCACGCAAAGATAACAGTACAGTATTGCAATAACATACAATTCTGCTCCACTTCCTGCTTACGGATACTTTTTAAGTGCTTTTTCGATGAAACTATTCACCTTGCTTATGTCTGTGTAAACTCCCGGATATTTGACACGCCCACAACCCATACCCCACGAAACAATGCCAGCTTGTTTGCCGTTGCATATCATCGGACCGCCAGAATCACCAGAACACGAATCCTTTTTACCCGGTTCCGAAGCGCACATCATATACTGTGTAATAGCACCGGTACCACGATATTTCCGTTGACAAACTGCCCGACTTACGACAGGTACATAGATCTCTTGCAATTGTCGTGAGACAATGCCGTTTTCTTTAGTATAGCCATGACCAATAACCAGGCAACTCGTACCGACAGCGATAGCGCTCTTATCCAATGATATCGCCGTAAAACTGGCACTCGGTATGGCAGAGGAGAGTATTAAGATTGCTACATCGTAATTTAGCGTTGCCGCATTGTACGTTTTTGAAACTAGCGCATTCTTAATCGTTCTCACTACGCCAGTGTCGCCCAAATTAATAGTGTCCGCGTGTACTCGCAACGCCTTCACATTGCTGCCCTTGACACAGTGGGCTGCCGTGAGTACAGCATTGTTCCGCACCAACGAACCGCCGCACTTGAACTCTCCTTGATAGTGCAGACGCACATAATAGCGATATTTCTTTTGTGTTACCACGCTGCCGCCAACAATACGTTCGGACACTTGTTGTCCATAAATATGGTCAAATGCAAAATAGAATATTAATTGCAAAACTAATTGTCGATTGAATTGACGCATAGCATGTCACTGTCCCAACTGAGTGCGTTCCCGTGTGCGCGTAGTGTTTTTATACATATATATATATATATATATATATATATATACGACTGTGGAGTTTATCGAAATCGGCGTTTCGGATTTGTGAGTGCATCGCTGGGTTCTCGCTCTGTTTTTCAATTCGTGACTCTTTATTTCGTGCAAAATTTACAAAGATTTTTATTGAATAATTTCGACATAATATATTTGTATCAGTTATCAGTAGTATATATTATATATTTGTATCAGATGTTAAGGCGCCTATCTTTTATCATTTATTTTATTGTTTATACTCTCAAATGTTTCTACATATATACTATCTGATCTCAGTCTCAACTACGGTTAAATCAAAATTATAGAAAAATGTTTGTCTAACACCGTGACTCCTCGGAAGCCTCAGTCGTAACTAGCAAATAAAATTAACGTTTTGGCTTCAGCATGAGATTAGCTTTCAACTTTCTAAACAAAGCCTACGAAAAAGTACGTTAAACCAAATAAATCCAAGAGAACAACGTTTTCAAAATAAAAAATGCAAGCGTCAGGTGGCGTCATTTTTATATACCGATATTTTTTTTTATTATATATTTTGGAGGCAGTTGAAACTGGTATACGCAATTGTGCTTTAAGTCTGCGAACTTTCCAAAAAAACGCAAGAATATTAGACCACCACAAGCTCGATTCACAAAAAAGAGTTCCGTATTGAATAGTCAATTGAATCCATCAAGATTTTAGGAACATTTGAAAAACTCGCATTTTCGAAACGATTTCGTTCGAGCCAGGTCGAATTAGATAATTAGATAAAATAATTAAATAATAATAAATAAATTAAAATACCGAGTGTTTTTTGCGGGTATCGCACTTTTAATTAAAATGAAGCTATAAATGAAATTACGAATATATTTTTTCTGTATTACTTCTCAATTTTATAACAATTAGTACAGTAAACAGTATTTCAGACATGCGGCAACTGCTACTGTTTCTTATGAAAAACCACTGGTTCCTTTTTGACTCCGGTGTAACCTTTGTCAAAGTGTACTGGACAGAAATATCAAGCTTATGCGCCTTACTTTGACAACTTACAGTCCAATAAATACATAACCTACAAAAGCAAAACGAAATTTTGAAAAAAATATGATTTATTTCTCAACATAGCCTCCTTTGTATTCGATATACAGGACCCAGCAATGATTCCACTTTAATTCATCTAACAAATTCTTCTAATAGTAAGTTTCCGTTCTGAAATACGAGTACTCTTTAAACCAACCTGTCTCACCCTGTATGCATAGACTACGAATTTGAATACGAGTCTGCAACTAATAATATAATACTTACTCGTACTATTATATGCTGAATTAAAAAATTTCCATATACATATACATAAATGTATATTTATATATATATATATATATATGTTTATTTGATTGATCAAAGTAATTAAAAAACTCATTAAATAATTTGTAAACATTGCAAATTAGTTCAGAGCACAATTGTTGCTTGAACAAAACGTAATATTTCATAACTTTGCATATATATATTATATATATAAGTAGTTGGTTCAAAACAACAATAAACAAGAAAAAAATGCATAAGTACATATATTATGTCTATGAGAGTTTTCATAGGAATGCTTCAAAAAAAATTGTACCGTTAACCTCTAAAAAATTCAATTTTTAATAAGTCAAGTAACTACTTGTAATATTTACCAGAAAATTTTTACTATAAACATTACCTTATATAACTGGCAGATATTTTTTGAATTTTATTTTTTTATGATATTTTTTTGAATTTTACGTCCGAGATGACACTAAAGAGCAAGTGTCAAATTTGGTCATACACATATCTCCGAACATTCTCCACTAATTTCAGCCTAATTTGGTACATAAGATTCTTTTGACATTCCCATGTTATAGTGCGAAATCAGACTACAACCACGCCTACTTCCCATAAAATACAATTTTAAATTCCATCTGCTTTTTGCACTTTCCTGTATACAAATACCAATTAATATATCGAGAAAAAAATTTGCTCGAATATTTCCTTTAAAGTATGCCAGCTGAAGTCTAAAAATTGTCAAAATCACACCATAACTATTCAAGCCCTCAGATACCGGAAATATGAACACTAGAGCTTATGGCTGACTTTTTGCCGAAAATATCGGTCAATCTGTGAGATACATATATTATAGTATATAATTCAAATTCGGGAAAAATGTTTTTTCGATTATAATATTGTATACTTTTTGTGTCAAAAATGTGTGAAATCGGGTTAATACTGCCCTTAGCCCCCATATGCCTAATAGAAACGTGCGGTTGATTTTACTCCATATACTTGTAAGTATATGTTTATATTTATATATGTATATATAAAATTGCTTGAAAATAACTTCACAAGTATACCTGAGCAATGTCCAAAATTAATGCAAGAAGCCCTTTCATTTCCATGTGCCCAACAATTTTAGTATAATTTTCGCTGACGGGAAGTAAAATATAGTAATTAAACTAAGGAAGTCTATGACCTTCAAAATAAGTTAATATGATACCAAATTTGATCGTAATCCATTCACCATTTCGTGAAAAAATGAAGTTGAATTGAACCAAGAGTATAAAATGTTTGATTACACCCGAACTTCTTCCTAACTTGCTTTTTTTGTTGTTTTTCGGCTTCGGCCCTTTTTGTGAAGTGCCATTCCTTAGATTGTTGGAAAGCTTAGACGTCATATTCATAAACCCAAGTTACTAGTAATAATGCCGTTGATGAATGTAGGGTCCTCAGCTATATTGCGATATCTACTCGACGTTGTTTTTGTAAAAGATTTAGGTCTTTTGGTACGAGTCTAGCATTGACACGCATTATTTATTTACCAAAATGTGTTCACTTGACCCATAAGAGATTTGAGATCCTCTGCTAACTCTCCGATGGCAACACCACTTTCAGGCATTGTTCCTCTAATTTTTTCGATTGATATTGAGAGATAGAACCGAAAAATTGCGTTCCATGCGCTTGTTATGCTCCCCATTTTTTATAAACATCAGTAACTTTTTTGGTTAACAAGCGATGTTAGAGAAACTCTTCAGAATTGTTCGCACTTCAAATATTTTAGTGTTGCTTAACGCCGGTTTACACAAGGATTTTTTTATTGCTCATTATCGGCAACTTTTCTCTTAGTAATGCAAAAAAAGCAAGTTGGTGCTCTTCGTACTCCCTCCCTCGTCAACAAACTACAAGTTGTCGCAACAAATGTTTTCGTGTGTGAATAAGCGCTTATTTACGTACTAGTTCTATCAGAAATGTACCTCACCTTATACCTCAAAGAATACTAAACAGAAATATGAATAGCATACGTTTTTTTCGACAGACTAATAATACCATATAGTATAGTATTACGTTCCAGGCCACAAGAGCGTTCAGGGAAACGAAATAGCTGATGAAATTGCCAAAAGTGCCATCTACTTGACAATACGCAAGTCGCTAAAAACGATACACAAAGTTTCCAAAAAGACTGGCAGACGGATCAGGGTGAGATGGAATGCCTTAGGGGCAAGCAGGATCGCTAAGATCATGTGCAAGAGAGCGGAGGAAAAGCACTGACTGCAGGACGGTTGCCTTACTGGCATCACATGCGAGCTGTATGGGCATTATTAACGATGACACATGTAGAAAGTGCAGGGAAGTAGGCATGAAAGAGACGCTGGAACACTTCACCTGCTTGTGTTCGGCCTGATCTATAACTAGGCTTAGATAGTATATAGGAGCTTCGCAGTTCAAGGAACTGGATGAAGTATCAACATTAGAAATCAAGTCTCTATTAAACTTCGCAAAAAAAGCAAATGAACCGCCGTAGAAAACAAAATAGTGATATAATGACTGTAACGAAAAAAATGTTGTATATAGTTTTTGCAGTTAAAATATATTCAATAATTTATGACGACAAACCCATCAGATAAAATTTATTACCACTGCAAAGTGGAATGTATAAGTCTGTTTGCTTTTGTTATACATTTTTATTATGTTTAGTGATTCACTTAAAATAATCGAATAAGCACAACTTAACTTAACTACCAAATTTCACTGATACCTCTGAAGCGTCCTTACGATAAAAGTATAAACACTGCTGATGTCTGTGTAGACGCCTGGATATCTGGAATCCGCACATTCCACACCCCAGGATACAATTCCAGCTTGTTGTCCGTTACATACCATTGGTCCGCCAGAATCGCCTCCACACGAATCTTTTCCCGACTCCCATGCACACAGCATACTCCTAGTAATACGTGCAACACCTGCATATCTACGTTGGCAAACTGTTCGACTCAGCACCGGCACCCAAACTTCTTGTAATTGCATCGGAACTTTGCCATTTTCCTTTGTACTACCATGACCAATAACCAAACATTTTGTACCAGCAGCGACTGGTGTCTGTTGCAATTGAATTGGTGTGAAACTCGAATTCGGTATGGCAGAGGCAAGGATTAACACTGCAACATCGTAGTTTGTAGTACGTTCATTGTATAAACTTGAGATCACCACTTTTTTAACTTGTCTCACAATTCCTTCATCCCTTAAGCTAATAGTGTCAGCGTGTACTCGTAATTCCTTTACGTTAACGTCGCTGACACAGTGGGCTGCTGTGACTACTGCATTATTCCGCACCAACGATCCACCACACCAGAGTATGCCTTCATAATGTACACGCACAAAATAAGTATATTTCTTCTCTGTAACCGAACTGCCACCCACAATTCTCTCGCCAATGCCTGTGCAAAGCATATGGTGCCATGATAGATATATCACTAGTTGGAAAATTAACTTTAGTTTGAAAGCCATAGCGTTGTTCGTGGAAACTGAATACATTGGCAAGAGTACATTGTGTATTTATTGAAGTCAAGCCTAAATTTTTTTTTTTTCGCAGGAAAGAAAGTTACTAAGATTTATATTTACACGTTTTTATCATTCTACATTATATCTGTTTTTAATTATCTCATAAATATTTTAAGTATTTCTTAGTGTCTTCAAACTCATTCACTCACAGTTATGAAAATCCCGAACAATATCGTTGATAACAGTGTAAAAATCGTTGAAAATTGCACGCCGTATACCCTACAATTCGTCTCGTTCCTTCGTTTATTCATCGAAACCTATAATTCTCATCGCGTTTAAGCGAGCTTATATTTAGTAGAATTCCCTGAAGCCTTACAACTTTAACCTTTTTTCTTTCTTTTTACGTGTTCTACCATATATAACCTGCACAACCCTGAGCTTTAACTGCGGGTATGAAAACTGATGCTGGTATTACCTTCTTTAGTATTACGTATGTAAAAATTGCTCATTATTTCGAATCACGTTTCTCTCGTGAGCAATTAGTTTTATTATGTAAAAAAAAAAAGTTAGAGAAAGTTATGACTAACGGACAATTAAACATTAATTAACAAGTACGTCATTGGCACTATGGAATATTTAGATGTTTTGTCAAGGTATTTAATTTTAGCTGGGAAACTCTTTCATGCTACAAATTACATTGCTATGGGTGTTCTTATTCTTATAGCAATATTGACAGGATTCAAGTAGTGAATGAATGCCAAATGAACATCAAAACAACGCACGTATTTTATATGATGGATTTTCTATAATTTCACACAATTATGCACTTAAGTTACTGGTCAAATGTAAGCTGTCTTTGCAGGTTTTGATCTCTTTTACTTTGAAAACATCTTTGGCCTAATGCAGGATGTGAAATCTAGTGAGTGAAAGAAATGCCATAGGCCAATAAAATCTATCAAAGCATTTCCAGACTTAGACTTATTTTTAAATAGACAAATTAAGGCCCCTATTCCGCTTTTCAACCCAACTGCATTTTGGTTGAAATTGAAATTGCTGTCAAATGAAATTTCAGTTGAAGTGTTGTCAAACTTCAACTTTTGTTTTTGGTATTACGGTTTTCAACTCTGTGCCAGTGAGGTTGACAAGAGTTTCAAAAAATTTCAACTGCTAACAAGCAGTTGTAGTTAAACATTAATGAATTTATTTAGGAAAAATATTAATAAAAATTTGAAAATGCGTAAAAAGAGTATTTTATTTATAATTTCAAATTATTTGAATCAGTTATTATGCACAAATCCATAGAAAGGTGAAACATTTGTTGAGCACGTGGCGTAAAATCCCGAAACTGGACGAGACAGGCTACAATTTGGAAACATTAAAATAAAATTAAGGCGCCGTGGGAAGTGTGTCGAATATAAAGAGTCTATACAATCTACTACTCCTAGAAGTATACTTTTTAAATAAAATTACATTTTTGCAGCGTTTAGCTCCTCTACAGTCCTATTCACAGCTCACAAATATGGTGTTCATAATATAATATATAAAAGCAGGTTTTGTAACAATCATAAATATCATTTTATAAATTATTTACCTTTTCGTGAGCAATATCTGTAAAATCTGCATTTTTTAGGTTAGCAACACCAATCAAATCTTCGACTGAAAATAGTTGAAAATCGTAATACCAAAAAAAAAAATTGGGTTGATCTGAAGTAGAATTGCTTCAACTGTAATTCAACCGAGTGGAGTTGAAAACCGTAATAAGGGTATTCATTTTTGGCGATTCTTCAAGCCAAGCAATACCGCATTGGACTACTTTTAGGCGTCTGTTGATATACTTTGTTCCCAATCACCACCAAAAGGCTAATATGTATTGCGTCTATAACTTCACATATTCGTGCGTTTCTTTTTTTTTAATATTTAAACGTTTATTTAAGAGCATGTACATAAAATTATATTGTTCAAAGTATTGCTCATCTGAAGTTATAATATTTTCCCATCTTTCTGAAAATTTTTGAATTCCATGCCAGAAGAACTGTGCTTGGCGCCTAGAAAAAATCCAGCCCACATTTTGTTATTGGGTGAGGCAAAACTTCTCAGCAGCTGTTTTCCAAATAGTTTTTAACCAATCTTCCAACATGTGGCCTAGCGTTGTCATGTTTAAACGCGCGTTCAAGCAACATTTTTGACATTAAAAATCATCTTTCAACGTCTCTTGGCTTCAATTTATATGGCACTCCTCTGGCAGTTTCATATCTTCATCAAAAACGCAGAAGAACAGTAGCTTTGGCACGAATGGTAGTAATATTAGAATAAGAGAATAGTAATAAAGTTACGACCCAAAAGAATTCAACAACATTTCTCCTTACCGATTGTATGCTCCGAAGTGTTATTACCAAAAATATGTCATTTGTGACAGATCATGCCACTTACTTATGGTGAATAGAAGACCATCTTCTCAGATATAGTTTTAAGAACGCTCTATAAAAAATTTTATTGTAAAAGCGTTCTAACACAAAATACAGGTACATTAGAGACTGGACGTATTTCAAACAAATTATGAGAGAGAACGCTTTCAAAATTACAATATAAATGAAATAGCGTAATTTTCAACTCATTCGAAAATATGCTCGTTCGTTTCATCACTGTCTAAATGTTAGCAAATTATTGTAATTTTACAAATTAATTTTCGAAGCTTCTTCATGCATAGTAATTTAGTGCAGAATTGAAAATCTGCCAATCTATATTATTTCAGTCTCATTTTATATGTATACAAGTATACTTATTAACTAAGTTGATTATGTTGATGCAATATAATATTATAATACCTCCATTCCCACTAACTCCACCTATTTTAACTTAAATTTAAAATATTATCATTAACAAATTTTTATAGCCTCCTAACAGTGTTTGTACAGTATATGCATTAACCACTTCTTCACCATATTTAATCTCACATATACACCCGGCGAATTAGCGCGACCACATTCACGGCCTTTACCCCACGACACAACGCCGACCAAGCGACCACGCGCCACTGCTGGCCCACCGGAATCAGCCAAACATGCATCTTTTTGACCCGGCACCGATGCACAGAACATCGTGTCGGTTACATTTCGATAATCCCCATATATTGCTTTACATTGCTTTTGCTCTAAAACATGAAGACGCACCGTCTGCATATGATTCGATGGTAGAACAGCATTCTCACGCGTAAGACCCCAACCGGAAACGGTAACGTATTCGCCTTGTGCGAGCGCAAAATCACCAATTGTTATCGGTTTGATATTCACACCTTGTAGTTTAGTATTAAGTCGCATAATGGCCACATCATGATCGAATGTGCGATTATTATACTCGGGCGGTACGAATACCCGTTTAACCGTACGCCAATTTTCCACATCAGATAACAAAGTATTTCCACCGCGTACAACAAAATCATTTGGCAAATGATGGCTGATGCAATGGGCTGCTGTTAAAACACAACGTGACGTCACCAATGAGCCACCACAATGAAAAAGGCGATTCAAACGGATATTCACCAGATATGGCACTTGTTCGATTCGTGCTGGTTCACCGCCGATGATTCGCCGTTCGCGTTGTACTTGTAATTCGCTAGTTGTCGGGTACGTCAAAGTCCTTTGCATGAGCAATATCAAGAGTAGCGTTGGCGAGAATCTCATTTTGGAGCTCTCAAACTAGCGCTATGCTTCTCCACAACTGCGGCACAACTAATGTTATAAATGTACACCAATTCTGTTTTTTATAATGCCTAACAATTAAATAAATATTTGTTGCCAAGGCCAATATATGTAGGCCATGTAATTCAAGTTACAATATAAATATTTACATCAGCTTTACAAGGCTTAATGGCAGTTGTTAAGCGCCAAAGTGGAAGTGGATTAGGTAAATATGCTGTCTCAATGTAACAAAAGCAATATAAATAAATAAATAGTGTTCTACAACAACAATTGAAGATCATGGACGCGGTTGCCTGAAAAGTATAAAAGGTTGACTGGAAAGCGCGACTAATTTTTTAAAGCAGTACTATTGCAATACTTCTAAAAAACAGACAGTGAAAGTGGTCGGTGCAATGTCGAAACATAAAACGTGTTATTTTGGAATTTTGCTATTTTTCCTAATTACATACAATTATTTTCCACACATTACTGCCACAAATATAACGATTGCCAATGATGTTCGATTATTAACGAACAACACGATAACCAAGAAGATTATGGGCGGTGATTTCGTATCGATAGGGGCCGCACCGTTTATGGTTAATATACGTCTGGATAATAGATCTATGTGCGGTGGCACTTTATTGCGTAAAAATTGTGTGCTAACTGCTGCTCACTGTGTCTCCGGCACGCCTGCCTTTCGTTTCGACGTACAAGCTGGTGCAACGATACTCTGGAATCGTAACAAAATGGCCGCTGTGCAGTCCATTTTCAAACCGCGGCAGTATAGGGAAAGAACGAAAAATTTTGACGTAGCCATTTTGCGTTTGGATAGACCCTTGACTGGTCAGCGCGTGCAATTGGTCAAGCTCGGTAATACCAATGTGAGACCGGGGCTGCGTGTACGTGTTTACGGTTGGGGTAATCGGCGTGAGGATGGTGAGGGTGCTGTGGCCTTGCGTGCCGCTGTGTTGCGTGTTATGAGACGTGACAATTGTAATCGCAAGTATCGAAAAAGTGGTGACGGCAATTTAAGTAGAACAATGTTTTGCGCTGCTTCGGCGGGCATAAACGATTCCTGCGAAGGCGATTCTGGTGGTCCATTAATGTTTCGCGGTCGGCAGTATGGGATCGTTTCGTGGGGTGTTGGCTGCGGTCGTCCGAACTTTCCTGGTGTCTATACGAGCATAAGAGCTGTACAACCTTGGATTAATAAAATTGTTGCACAGCATTGTCAATAGAAACTACTCATTTATTATTAGAATTTATTTGGTGTTGGTTTGGATGTATTATTTTAAAATTAAAACATTAAATATGGCAATATTAATATTTTATAAATCAAAGTATTTTCGGCAAAATTGGTGATCCTTTCTAAACACTCTGATATGAGCTCCTGAATCTCTTGAATCTGCTACGAATGCAGAGTTGGAAAAGTGGCGCTTTTATTTACGAATAGAGACAGCGCTTAATTGCCAAACTGATCGTCGACTTTTCAATCCACTCTCAAAAAAAAATTAACCGAAAATATTTTGTGACGAGTGCAGATATAAAGATCATTACTACAAATAAATAAAAGTCGTTTAAGTTCGTCAACCACACAATTACCCACTATGTCTATATTACCTGGTAGTAAATAGTCTTTTAATTAGTTATCTAAAAATTCCGACGAAAATACACCAAACTGAAAATATTTCGCAGTATTCTAGCATCGGCACTTACTAGGCTGTCTATTCCTTGCTTGAAACAACAATTTTTATGTTCGTGTAAACTGTGATCTCCATTTGTTCGACGAAAACACAAGTATTTGATTATTACAAAATATTCAGTGATGGCCGAGAAAACTTGCCTCATGCTAGACTCGTACTAAAAGACCTGAATCTTTTGCAAAAACGGCGTAGAATAGAGGTCCAAAGGGTCAAAAGGGATGCTTGACAACGTTGCTGAAGACACCCCATTTAAGAAGTGCTTCATTGCTGGTGATAACACGTGTGATTATGAATAAATCGTCGAAGCTGTCCAACAATCTAGCGAATGGCGCTCCAAAGATGTGACAAAACCGGTAAAGCCAATATTCACTGAAGGCACCGAACGCACCAAAGCCGAAGCTTATAACAAGTGTATGGAAAATTGGATTAAGAGTTGGCATGCTTGTTTTGGTTCAGTAGCCTACAGTTCACGAAATAAGTATAATATATTTCGAAGGCGATAATAAAGATTTGTATTGTCAGTCCGGATCAAATTTTAATCAGACAGATGCGATTAGACACCGCACTTGATTAAACCTTTTTAAAATTTTGCTTTAATAAAAAAAATGTCTGCAATGTGACACACCTTGTTTACTAAGACTGTTTGGTAGATCGTCTCAATACTAAATTCTATTGGTTTAAACGCAGCTGTTAAAAAATTTATGAGTAAAAAATATCCATGTTAATCCAATAAGCAGTTTTTTTTCAACTTTTTGTTGGGGGTTTTATAAATATTTTTTGTAATTCTCTGATAATTATTTTAATACGTAATTTTTTGTAATGTTTGCTCTAAATTAATAAATATATATACATGTTGCAAAAAATTCTTTATTTTTTTCAATAAATCCCTTTACTAATCGATATAAGTGCCATCAAGTCACACTATATGGCGTTAAAAAGATAAGATTTCGTACAAAAGAAGATAGACTCTTAGCAACTCATAGACTCCAGCAAAAAGAAAATACAGAGTATTTTATGGTTTTTCTTCGATAAAGTCGAAAACGCAAGCCATTCGGCTGAAAAGCGAATGCTGTTTATGGTCCTAATACTGCAGCAGCCGTTTACGCGTAGTTTTGGTTTCGTTGGTTGCATGCTGATGCTTTTGATGTCAAAGCTGCACCATGCTCTGGAAAACTAATTATCGAAAATATCGATAAAAGCATGCAAATCGTCGAAGCCGACCATTTATGTAAGCACTGTTTGCATTGCCGTGGGGCTAAGCATTGCACAAAATATCATTTGGAAACATTTCAAGAAGGTTGGATGCAGAAAAAAGCTCGATGTATGGGTATAACACGAGTTAACGCCTTATGGACCGAATTTGCATCTTCGAATTGTTGCTCAATCGCAACAAAATAGATGCATTTCTAAAACTGTTAGTTACCGGTTATGAAAAGTGGGTCACTTACAATAACGTCAATCGACATCGATCGTGGTCGAATCGCGGTGCACCGGGCAAACTCTGACCAAGCCGTTGATTGACGGTCTGGCATTTTATTGTAACTATGCTAAATAAAGCCTTCAATTTAATGAAAACCTAATGATTTTTTTTTAATAAACCTAAAACTATTGATTATATAAAAGATTGCAACCATTGAATTTATTTTCACATTTCCTCGCTCTCCCGCTCTTTTTCAGTATTTCTCACCACAGATCTGTCGCCCGGTCGCCAGAAGTTGCATTCGCACATACAAATCGACACTGGCGAATTATCGATGCAAAGTTCGAATTCAGTGCTTTATTATGTATTCAGTTTGGTAGAGACACCAATAGCGCTACAGCAAAAGACATCCTACGTCCTTGACATACAACGTCCAAAGACAGCGACTACCATGACACAGATTGAAAGTGGCACAACCAGTAGCGTGGAAAATTCGCCCGAAAATGTACGCAATTTCATTCCACCCGTTGATGTGCAGCCGCTCACGATCTCAACACCAGTCCAGATTGAGTTCCTCGACGAGAGCAGATTACGCAAAACGCGCGAAGACACAATCAACATAAAATGTGAGCTCGACTTTCGGTTCTCAGCACGTTTTTATACGCTTAGCAAGCGACCGCTAACGAAGGTCTATCGTGGTGAAAATTTCTTGTTGCGCGCCAATATCGAAGTGCGCGCACCGATCGATATTGACATACTAGAGACGTATTTCATTTGTGTAAGTGTTTTTGTGTAAATTTGTATTATGCTATTAAATATATATTATATAAATATATGTGTATGTATATGTTTTTTCAGGATCACAATTTGGTGCAGTCGACGTACAGCTTTAAGAGGAAAAAGTTTACGCAAACCTACCGCAATCGCGACAAACTCGAGGACATAATCGTGCTACGTACGAATGCCGCTAGCAGCGATTGGTCCACTGCGAAAGATTTCGAACGCACCAAAAGTGGCGACATGCCCTCAGAACTATTTAGTCGTTCCAGACACGCGCGAAAACTCAGCGCCATTAAGAATTTGCAACGCGATGCGGTTGCGGGTGTTGCAAGCGACGTAGTCGCCAGTGCGCACATGAACAAGCATCTTATGAGCAAAATACCGAACAACATGACAATAATAAATAATAGTGCCGGTTCTACGAATTCGCTGTTAGCGGCGAACAATTCGATGACCGCTTCGGGTTCATCATTTGATGAGAAATTTAACTCCATATCGCTGGAGGTGACAGACGGTGTTGATAGTGCAACGACACAGTCGGCGTCGGCACGTGCATTAAATACGCGTGTTGTCTTCAATAAAGCAATAGAAGCGATACAAGTTACCGGTCATTGTCGTGGTTTCTTCAAACGTATCGCTACGGCCGAACCTGAAACGCAAGCCACAACAACAACAATACAACAGCAACCCAACTTCGGTGTATATTGCATTCGTTGGCGTCGTAGCGGCCATAAAGAAGAGAACGAATCGAAATTTCTCATACAAGGTCTGGAGATTGAGGAGCCGCCTTTGAATATTTACTGCACCATTGAGGAGAAAATGTTCGTAAAAATGCCTATGACCTATAAGGTTGTGTTACGTAATCCCACCTCGAATGTATTGCATTTGGTAGCCACCCTAAGCATTAGCATAGCGGATAATTTTATTTGCTCCGGACACAAGCAAGTAAGTGCAAAACAACTCCAACATGTCATTTAGAGAATATTAATTTTTTTTTGTTTTTGTTTCTAACTTTTCAGCTCGATATCTCCATTTATGCGTATAGTGAAAAAGAGCTGGTCTACAATCTCTACCCATTATGCGTTGGCTGGGTGAACTTGCCCGAATTAACAATAGAATACAATATGAAGGCCGATCCTAACAAAGACGACTCGCATAACAATGTGCTCAGCGAACTGGTGCAACGCTCAATACCGAAGAAGGTGTTTGTGTTGGTAAATAAATACAAAAAAAAAAGAATTACAATAAGAAAACACTTTAACTTCGGCTGCACCTCGCAGAGCGTTAACACTATCTACGCGAGAATACTAGAACAAAAAAAAAACTATTTTATTTTTTTGTATATTGACAACTTAAAGCAAAGAAACTGAAAGTACTCATTCCACGAATTGATATATAAATGATTAACGTGTTGAAATTCATCGATTTAGCCATGTCCATCTGTCTGTATATATGCGAAATAGTTCCCCGAATTTCAAGAAATCGCTCTGAAATTTTGCACACGTTTTTTTGGCCACAAAAAGCTATTAATTTGTCAGGATCGCCGTTATCGGGCCATACATACTAATTGATCAAACAATTTTATTTAAAATATATCTTCACGAAATTTGCTATCCATTATGGTTCAATCTCTTTCACCATAGGTAAAGCTGCCATACAAACTGATCCATCAAAATTAAGTTCTTTTATGGAAAACTTTTATAATTAACGAGATATTTTCACGAAATTCGTTATGGGAAACGGTCTAAAGAAACGGTGCAGTCCCCGAACAAACTTAGCCTTACCTTCGTACTTTTACAAACCTGCTTAAAAGTTTACAAGCAATTTCGAATTTTCCTACATCATTTAATTAAAATCAAGTAAACAATTTCCACATAAAACAATTGCAAGTGCTTTTTATTGTTACTAAAATTTCTTCACTTTTTGTTTACAAATGTATGTTCTTCTCTATTGCAGCCACCGCTGAAGCAACAGTTAAAATAAATAAGGATTGCAGTGTAATTAGTGCGCGGCGTCGAGTATCTGCTGTTTAATATTTAGGCTAAATAGTTTGAGAATGTCGAAAATACGGTGTTTAACATAGATATGTATAACAACAAACTAAGGAATATGTATGTAAAACGATTTTGATATTCACAAACAAAATGGATATCTATTTTGTGAACTTTGTAAAAAAAAAAAAAAAAAAAAAAATATAGAAATTATTGAAATTTAGTAATTCTAAAGCAATTTTACTGTAATATCTCTTAACCATTGTTTAAGTAAGGAACCACACAAAACTTATGTATGTAACGGCATAGATAACATTTAATAGACATCTAGTGTTTACAGTATATTTTACATTACTGCATAGCATCATATTTTCTTATACACTTATTGTTTCGTAATTTTTATTTTTTTTCTGTTTTTTTTTTGACTGTTTTTGTGAGGGTTATACATATTGCATAAAGTGTGCTAATTAAAATACATTAATTATTATTATAGTAGTTTTTTAATGGTTATGATACAAATGTTCGTACTAGCATTATAGTGTTGTGTATAACTAAAATTAATTTAAAATGTAACTGTGTTAAAGAAATCTAAATTCACCTTAATAAAACTACAATAAATAGAAGTGTTGTTGTATTTTTCTACACTGGTTGGATGTAGGTATTTACCATCGGATCAAATTTGAACCCAACTGAAAAAAAAAAATGGATTTTCAAAAACTGGATTACAAAACTTTATTATCGCCTTCAAAATAGGCGCCTGAGTCAATACAAGTACGCCAACGCTTAATCCAATTTCCCATATGCCACGACTTTAATGACCTGCAATATTTTCATTTTCAGAATTTTGGTTTTTTCGGTTTCGGTTCATTTAATTGGAGCGCTATTCGCTAGATAAATACACCCATGCTTCATCACCAGTAACTCTACTGAATGTAGGGTCCTCAGCTATGTTGTCAAGCCTCACTTTTGCGACTTCCACTCGACGTGGTTTTTTGCAAAAGATTTAGGTCTTTCAGTACGAGTCTGGCATTTAATGCTTCCTACCCAAAAAATCTAACCGAAATGTGTTGAGTCGGTCCATCAGAGATGTTGAGTTGCTCCGGACAACTAATATGAGGCAAGCTTTCGATGACTTCACGACCTGCACTGAAGGCCTTGTACCACTAAAATATTTGTGTTCGTGCTAAAGTAGGCTACCCGAAGCACTTCTGCGTCATCTCCAATGTTGACGTAGCCGTTGAAACCCAAAATTGAAACACAAAATTTCGAGCAAATTCGTTGTTAAAGTTTTTAGTACAAATCGTCAGACAAACATTTCGCGTCGTGAACAAACAGCTGCGAAACCCTTGCTACATGAGCAGTAAAAAAGAGGTTGTACCAATCTAGTGTTTTTTGTAACGATTCGGATTTTAAATGTACCAGTCCGGGTCAATTTTGATCATATGGTACGTATGTGTGTATGTATTTATATTGTATGTATCTATGTAAAGTGTAATGTATGTGTATAATTTCAGCACTTAAATCTCATAGTTATCACGGCGTATCACTTGTTACTTGAGGTGAATTTGAAAACACCTCTTCTTTGGCTGCGATTTTCATTCTGCAAAAATTAAGAGCATTTCTTTAATACATTATTGTAGCCATTACAAAATTGCACTTTGCACTCACCAATAAGCGATTACCAAACAGCATTTTTGCTTTGTCTTCCTCCTGCGGTGACGAACGTTCGCCAGCCGATGTACCTGGTTGCCGTCGATGTATTTGTAATTTCTGCTTGATTGCCTGTGATAATATCACGCGACGACTCACTGATTTCATAGCTAATAGCAAATCAAGCCAGGTCCAAGTGACATTGTGGTATTCAAGTGTTGGTATGACGAGCGAGAAATTTGTTATGTCCTCAAGATTTTTCTCTTTGTTGCCTTTGTAACTGACACGCACAGGCACTTCTGGAATTTTTATATAGATAAACAATTTATTCTTCTCAGCACGCTCTTTCATCTTTTCCACATCGTCTTTTTCGATTTTCACATAGAATTCCGAGTCTTTCGAACTCTTTTTGGTTTTCGATGGTTTCTTGGTGGTTTTCGTTTGCACGGCCGATGATGAGGAGGAACTGGAGGAATTCTCTTCAATATCATCTACAGTCTCCGTTTCGGAAGCGTCGCGATCGGGAAAACAGAATTTCAACATGGTGCTGTAGAATTTTTTCGTTATAGCAATAGTGATGGGCGCCACATTAATTTCGAAATGCTCCTTCACCGATATGCCACCCACTGGCGGTTTCTCACGGCAAAAGACGCGCAACACACGCTTATGCGTATCGATTGGCATATCTTTTTGGATTTCTGTGGGCATTAAGACTTCTCGATAGATCTCACGCGGTATCAAATTGCTCATACGTATATTGCCCAGTTCAAGTAAATGTTCCACGGAATCGTCACTTTTCGATTTTTTCGTATACAAAAAGCCACTAAGCACCAGATCGGATATGCCGATTTGACCATCGGTTTCTGTGAGACGCCACTGTGCGCGCTTAAAGCAGATCTCATTTGCACGCACGATGGTTAACGATTTGTCGGAGCGCACCTGGTATTGAGAAGAGAGAAAGAGAGCATTAGATTTGAAAATAAATTATATACAATTAATTTCAAAGCAGATGTTTTTACACCCACTCACATTCGATATTTTGCTTAGCTGCGACAGCTGTGTTTCCTTATAGCACAACAACATCATATCGAGCTCTTCGCTGAGCGTATTCAATTCCTCTTTACTTTCGCGTATTTGCAATTGCACACGTTCGAATTCGTGTCTCAGCTCTAGCGTGTCGCCCTCTTCCGCACGATCCTTGCCGATGAGATGTATGTCCTTCTCCAGCGAACGGATTTTCATCAATAAACTGCGTATCATGGTTTGTTTCTGTTGTATCGGTCGCTTTTGATCCTCCGTGGAGTGTAGCTGCAGTTGAAAACGCATGCGCGCCAACTTCTCCAAAGCCTGTTTGCGTTGCGGTTCAACGTAAAGCAACAGATTGTTTACAATATCTAATATCATAGCATATTGCAAGGAATTCGTGCAGACATCAAGATCGTGATGCATTAAAGTGAACGCATCCACTGGATCGTCTTGTTTCTCCCACGGTGATAGCGTTTCCTCGGATGGTGGTGGCGGTACTTCGGTTATGGAATTTGGATCGATCGTATCGCCATAGCTGACGTAGAAGAATTCACATTTACAACGCGAAACAATACGTTGCAGCTGCACAGGCTGTGTTTCACCCGGATTCTCAATCGATAAGGCACCCACAGTCTCCGACACAACACCGCCCACACTGCGACCACTACCGACTAGATGCGGAATGTCTGGCAAATCATTGATCACAGTATCATCTTTATCCTGAAAAAGAAAAAATTGTTAGTACTCTAGTATATATAGAATTGGGCATATCAAAATTATCAGTATGACAGACAGCACGAACTGATTTCGTTCCCACGAAGGCAAATGCACGTAGTCGGAACGGAATCGGTATAGATAGGGATTATTAGCCATTGAAACATTGGGCAACACCTGTTTGCCAGGAAGTTTGTAATACCCAGAAGAAAATGTCGGAGACACTATAAAGTCTATATAGAAATGACCAGCGTGATGAACTGAATCGATTTATGTCCGTCCAAGCGTCTATCGGTATATACGCACACTAATCCCTCAGTTTTTGAGATAAAAATTGAATTGAATTGAAGATGAAAAATTGCACACGCCATTTTCTCCCCAATAAGCCGCTTATATGTCGGAACAGCCGATATCGGACCACAATAGAATATAGCTGCCATAAAAATTGACCGATTGAAATCACGTCCTTATACGGGAAATTTTTTCATTTGACGAGATATCTTCACGAAATTTGGCATGGAATATTGTCAAAGGCAACCGTACAATCTCCGAACGAATTGTATATATTAAAGGACTAGGATATAGCATATAGCTGCCATACAAACTGTCCGATCAAAATCAAGTTTTTATGTAGAAACTTCTTTATTTATGTGGATATTATAGCTTCGACCGAAGTTAAGGTTTTTATACTCTTGCAACATGTTGCTACAGAGTATAATAGTTTTGTTTACCTAACGGTTGGTGGTATTACCTAAAACTAATCGAAATAGATATAGGGTTATGTATATATAAATGATCAGAATAACCAGACGAGTTGAAATCCGGATGACTGTCTGTCCGTCCGTCCGTCTGTCCGTGCAAGCTGTAATATGAGTAAAACTTAAGATATCTTGAGGAAACTTGCTACACATTTTCCTTGGCACCATAAACAGTTCGGTACTGTAACTACTTTTGAAACCTCTTACGACAGTGTAACAGGGTGAAATCCACCAGACGAAATATTTTTCAAGCAGTTGGAAGCATGTATATGACTTTTGCTATCTGATAATTAGAAAAAAAATTTAAAACCGTTAGACGAACGGCCTTTTCGTTACAAGTAGGAGCTCATACTTGGACAGCCTTTCTGAAAGGTGTCTACCAACCTATTTTTCAAGAGTACGAAGCCAAAACAAACACATTCTGTTTTTTTTTTTTTGACTCACCCCAATATATCTGTCATACAAAGTATCCGATTACAATCTGGTTCCTGGAAAGAATATTTTCTATTTGTGAAGGGCTTCGGTGCAACCAAAGTTAACATATTTGCATATATATATTTTTTTCATAGGGTCTCAGACGTTCCCTTCTGGGTATTACAAACAACACTTAATATACGCTGCTCAGGTTATAAATATTTAAAAAAAAAAAACAAAAAAAAAACAGAATTTAAAAACAAATTACTATTTTATTTTCAAAGGGGTTACTGACTTGGCTAAATTTAAAGAAGGGTTGTGGACTTGACTAAATGTAAACAAAAGGGTCATTGACCTCATAAAATGTAAACAAAGGGGTTATTGCCCTCGAAAAAATGTAAAGAAGAGTCATTAACCCCATAAAATGTAATCAAAGGGGCCAATGACCACAAATGTAAACAAAGGTTGTTGACTTGACTAAATTTAAACAAGGGTTGTGACTTGACTAAATGTAAACAAAAGGGTCACTGATCCCATAAAATGTATACAAAAGGTAATTGACCCCTTAAAGTGTAAACAATTCATTACTCGAAAAGGCCGATGTCGGACCACTATAAGATATAGCTGTCAAACAAAGTGATCGGTCAAAATCAAGTCCCTGTCAAGTCGGAAAGATTATTGTCCAAGGCAACACTACAGTCTACGAATAAGAGTATTTCACGTTTGAAACCACCCGATATTAACTCGACCTTACCTCATTTATATGTATTATGCTTACCTGAATGTTATCCACCGTCAGCCACATGATTTCCTTTTCAATGAGCGAGTCATCTTCACCAGCGCTCACTGTGGCATAGTACTGCATGCATTCGAGCAGACCCTTCCAGGTCGTCTTGGATACCAGCGATCTATCACGCCAAACGGGACGGTGTACACGTTGCAGAATCTCCGCTTTCGCTGCGCTAATAATTACATAACCCGATGTCTCACAACCCTTAAGCAACACCTGCGAATTAACCAACGATATGGACCAATTCTCATGTATCACATCTTGCGCCGAACATGCTTGTAAACCTTGTAGCTGCAATTCGCGCGATTGTGTGCTTTGATCGTCGCTGTAAACGTTGAATTTGTGATCGGCCTCAGCTATTAGCTGCTGCAGCATTGCCGTTGCATGGCTGGCGGGTTGCACCTTCTTGATGGCGCTGTTGGTATTGGTAACTGTAAGTTTCAAGTGAACGTAAGTATAAATTTGACAGCTTAAAAAATGTAAGACTTACTTGGTAACACCTCTGTTGGATTATTTGTGAGTGTGATTGTGCTATCGCTACGCTTATTTTTAATAACATTCGAATTAGTCTCCTTGCGATAGCTCTTCACGGCCTCTGTGGATAGATTATTCTTAAGCTTCTGTGACTTCATGAACGAATCGAAAAGCGCAAACGCCACATCACGATTGTTTTTCGTCCACGCGCCTTTCAGATCGTAAACGACTAATTTATGTGTGGGTGTGGTATTTTTTGTCTTCGACTCCTCCTCTTGACTGCTGCCGGTTTGTATGAGCGCCTCACGTCCGTACGACACTTTGGCCACGCTTAAAAAGTAAAAACGCACTATTTTGAAGGCATCCCCCACACTGGCCAAATTTTCCGCACTACTATCGAGTTTCTCGGTTAGTATGCTCTTCAACCATATTTCAGCGTCATTCAATTCACAATTCATATACACGGTCGACCAGTCAGCACGCGGCCTGTGAATCAGCCCATCATCGATCGGGCATAGCGATAAACAATATTCAGAACTAAATGACACACGACCGCCGTTTAATTGGAAACCCTTATGCAACGCATGTGACATCCAATAGAGTACTTGAAAGTGATGTAAGCTCATTTGTAGATTTGCTTTCTTATAATGGCGACTAAGTTGTTTTTTGCGTGGACGCACATTGTTAAACACCGGGCCGCGTCGTGTGGGACGCGTCACACCGGACAGTATAAGCTTGAGACTCTCGAACCAACGCAAAGTGCTGCCGTACAGAACCAGGCTTGGAATATCGATTTCCACCTCCTCGCCATGTTTCGGTTTCGTTTCAAATGAAATCCAAATATTTAGATTAAGCGAACGGAAGGCGCGAAATGAGTCATGCACTTGATTGCTGGAATACTCGGGCAACTTGTCGGGCGCACAAGGCATAACGGCGTGATGATCATTTGGATTGGCCAGACAAACCCAATTTAATTTGAATGTTAGCTTCAGATTGGGAAAGTGCAGCAGGCGGCAATCGTCGTAACGTGATGCTGTACGTACCGTTATCTAGAAAAAAAAAATGTCAAAATGCATAAAATCACATCTCACATCTAAAATTCTTAATACTTACATTTAGTTCACCTTTGAACATGATTTTCGCATTTGTCCACACAATGCCGGCATTGTTCCAGGTAAGTTCCATTTCCTCGGTTGTATTGTAGGGATCCAAAGAGGCATGCAACAAAACTGTGAATTGCTTAACAATCATTGTTAGACGCCCGTGAAACAGCAAGCGCATTTTATCCCAAAAAGGCAAAGGCGGACTTGGATCTTTCGAGGGTGCTGAAATTTTCTCGAAACTAAGATTACACTGCGCCATCACTGGCTCCCAGCAGGGACCAAAAGCATAGCTGCAAAACTCCAGTTCACAATCGAAATCGTGATAGAATTTCTGCGACGGCATGCTGCGCTGTATCACATCTGTGCCGAAGGGCTCGCCAACTTCTATGAAAACATCACGCTTAGCACGCTTCGATGCTGCTTGCTCAGCGCCGCATAAATTACCAAATAGGCGCATTGATTTAACATAGAACATGGGTTGTGGAAAATCACTGCAGACAAAAAAATTCATTTAGCTTTAAGTACATCCAAAAAAAATATTTTATTCAATAATATTTATGGTTACCGCAGCATAAATTTCCACTCTGTGCAGCTAATATTCACGCTGCGGCACCATAGTGTGGTGAATTCCAAGCCCTCCTCCGGCCATGGCGTTTCACAGTCAATGTCGCGCATTATACGCGTCACATTATCGGTGCCATGTAGCGATGGATCGGCCATTGCCATTATTTCCACATCCGTCATAATCCATGCCAGTAGGCGCGTCCGCACCGGCCCACTCTCTCGTATTTTCTTCGAGCGTTGTATATAAATTTCGGAATTTTTTTGCACTAAACTAGCATAGAGACTTTCTATTGTGCTCGCTGGCACCAGACAACGTTCAGCGATTTTCTTATCGAATATAGCTTTGCGTTTCAGACCCTCCAGATATTCATCCACAAGCAGCACGTAATTGTCACGCAATTTCACCTCGAACGGATCGTCGCTGATTTCGAGCAAAAACTCTTTGATCTTAAAAAAACAAATTTTCATTTAATTAATTAAATCTTATTTTCTTAAAAGTATAATAAAAAAAAATATAATAAAATAAAATTACAAAAATGTGTATATAAAAATATATAAAAAAAATTGCTACACATATAAAAAAAAAAACAAATTATATATAAGTAATAAAAAAATTTTGTTCAAAAAAAAAATATAATAAAAAAAATAAATATAAAAAAAATAAAAATAAATATAAAAAAAATATATAAATTATATTAAAAAAATAAAAAATTTTAAAAACTAAAAAATATAATAAAAAAATAAATATAAACAAGAAATAAAAAATATAAATATTAAAAAAAAAAAATTATATATTAAAAAAAAAAAAATTATATATTAAAAAAATAAATAAATAATTAAAAAATAATAATATAAATAAATAAAAAATATATATAATAAAAAATAAATAAAAAAACATAATAATAATAATAAAATAAAAAGCAAAAAAAAAACCTTTAACTTTGGCTGCACCGAAGCTATAGCTTTCAAAGATGCATAAAACGGTATAAAAAGATCTTAATCTTGATTTTGATCGGTCAGTTTGTATGGCAGTTATATGCTATAGTAATCCAACCAAACAGTATGTTCGGAGATTTTAGCGTTGTCTCAGAAAATAATAATAAGAAAAGGAGTGTGCCAAATTTCATATCAATATCTGAAACCTCAGGGACTATATACATATATACAATACTTTATAGGGTCACCGAAGTTTTCTCCTAGGTGTTACAAAGTTACAACTAAGCTACAACTTTCCTAAAAATGTAGTAGAATTAATAAATATAGAGATTTACTTGTATGACCATATCGCTGGGCAGCGGTGAGCTAGCGGTAAACGGTTTCTTCTTGTAATTATGCACCAATTTCAGCCATTTAAAATGCGACACGAACTCATTTTGCACCGCGTCATAAAAATCGTGATCGTAGGGAAAGATGGCCTTCAAATGAAAATAAAGAAAGTTAAACTAATTGAGAGCAACATACTACCATAGGCATACCTTAAAGGCGCCAATTGTTGTTACCCACACTTTGTTCGTGGGCAGCACAAAGCCCTCGCAATTCACACGCTCCTGCGTGAGCATATCCAAGCGTGGTAGCGACTGCACATCGATTTCCTTCAATGTAAATATGTGCTGATCATCGATTTTGATGAAAAGATTTTCCGCTGAGATGAAATTCGCTTCTTTGTGACTGAAGAATAAATTCTCCACAAACCATTGCATCGTATGCCGTTCGGAGAGTTTAATCTCGAATACCGTGCTCAATTCAGCGGATAGTTCGATGATCCACTTTTTTTTAGCATGCGACATCTTCACTTCTACCGCGTGCTGCGGCAAAGCCAGCTCGGTGCGCAAATCGCTCATGTCACGTGCCAAAGTCAATATGTGCATATGCAAATTGGCATTCCACATGGCCTCCGTATTACTTGGAATGTAGACCGACACTTTGTTCTCGCTTTTTTCATGTTCAATGCGTATTGTTTTACAGCTAGCGAATATGTCGGTGAAGTCATTAAGACATAGGGATGAAGAATTCATTGAACGCATTATGGCCATTTGAAAATCCTCAAATTTAAAGCTGGACACCTGTTGCTTACGCGATAGCGATATGTCTGAGAAGCTTAGGAGCAGACAAGCTTGATGGTGATTGATAAAATATGCTGTGATGTCCTTGATGCGTGCTGATATCAATAAACCACCATCAGATATGGAATTTGTGCCGACGCTTTGCACACGTGACACACGCTTGCCAATGCCACTTTCGGTGGAATTAAGACCACCATACTGTTTTATACAATTGACAGACTTCACTATAAATTCAGCAAGACTCATACTATATTCCGTGCGTAGAGTGTGTATAGACACCTCTAATTTCGTGACACTTGCGTATGAACTCAATTTCACCAAGCTGAGTCCGAGAAAAAATGGCGAGCCTGGAGAATGTGATTTCTTCAAATTGTTGGTGTCATTTATGGAATTCCCCAAGGACCACCATAATGATTCAATCATTAATTCTGTGCTCCAATGACGCTGATTCAAGAGCAAATTCAAAAGTCGATTGCCATATAAGGAGCTGCGTTTCTCTTCGATTTGTTCCAATAGGAATCTTGTATGACTAACGCTCATAGCAGCGTTTTCATCGTCCAACTTCATCAGCACGGAAACGTTCCAGAACTCTGCACAGCCTAAAATAGGAAACCAAGAAAAAATTTTAAAATTTCCATACAAATTATTCAGTTTGTATGGCAGCTATATGCTATAGTGGTCCGATCAAAACAATTTATTCGGAGTTTATAGCGTTGCTTTGGACAATACTCCATGCCAAATTTGGCGAAACTATCTCATCAAATAAAAGAGTTTTCCATACAAGGACTTAATTTTGATCGTTTAGTTTGTATGACAGCTAAAGTGGTCCGATCTGAAAAATTTATTCGGAGTTTATAGCGTTGCTTTGGATAATAATCCATGCCAAATTTGGCGAAACTATCTCATCAAATAAAAGAGTTTTCCATAGAAGGACTTAATTTTGATCGTTCAGTTTGTATGACAGCTATATGCTATAGTGGTTCGATAACGACGGTACCGACAAATTAGCAGGTTCTTAGAGAGAAAAGAACGTGTGCGAAATTTTAGAGCGTTAGCGCAAAAACTAAGGGTTCACGTAAGTGAACGTATATACAGACTCATATCGACTCAACTTATCGCACTGATCATTTATATATATGTGCATATATTTTATTGTCTCTCCGACGTTTCATTGTATAATAATCAAGACTTGCAATTCAATAATTCATACCTTTAACCACTATGCGCTTTAATATACCCTCAAGTATGCCATTATGCGCCGGTTTGGACGTTATAAGCAGCGGATCCAGTATATTCTCATTAGGTGCTGCATATAATGTGTCCGCCCCTAAATGTTCCGACAATGAGCGTTTCGTTACATTTAAGTGTAACGGCTGTTGACTTATACGCTGACGCGACAAAAAGTTATTGTGTACCCAATCGTATATTTCACAATGATTATAGATTATTTGGAATGTTTTAAGCATGACATATAAATTTAGTATATCGTTTTCCAGCTGAGAAGAAATCGATAAGACAATTTAGTTTACAAACTATATTGTATGATAGTAACGTTATACTCACCACGGAATCAATAGTAAATTGTTCAATAAATAGTAACTTTTCATATTTAGTATCAATGTCCAAGTGCTGTAGTAACACTTTGGTAAGCAATGTTGGAAGATGTGCATTTTCATTCAGTGATTTCGAATTGAATTTCCCAGTAATCTAAGCAAGTGTATTGCAAATACATTAATATATTATATAGCAAAGAAAAATAATCAGTAAACTTACACTGAACAATTGAATTTTTGCGCTAAAATCATTTTGGGAATTCTCTTTCACTGCCGAAAAGGTAGCTGCTTTGATCACAAAATTGAAATTCTTAGGTATGATGGGTGAGATCTTCTGATATGACTCGTTACTGAAGCTCTTTCGACGCTGCGAAAGTGAATTAGCCGTACTTATCACTCTGCTCTCTAAATTTTGTTGTGGTTTTGTACGTTGCTTCGCCTCACTTAGGAAGTCGTATAAACTACCGTGTATGGTGGAACGTGCATTATTCATTGCCAAAGAGAGTTTCTAAATAATAAGAGAAAATGTTCATAGCATGAAAATATTGTTTGTAAATCCATTTTGCTTACGTCCACAGACAAAGGTCCTTGCGCAAATAGTGTGGCATCTAAGGCAATGTCGAAGCTAATCTCGCCCAAACAAGGTTGTATCTTATTTAGATTTTCCAAAGACTGTCGACGTGAAGGACAATGTCTTAACATTTTCGCCTGATAATTAAAAAAAAAAATTATATGCTGAAAAATCAATATAAACACATATCTTACCTGAGCATCATTAAGCGCCGCATTAACTAATAAAGTTTTAGCGTTATGCACAATACTGCCATCTAGATGTAACTCCCTAGCTGTTGCATGTATGAACCAGCCCGGATCGAAATTGTTATTCATAAGTACTACGGAAATATTATTTATGTGCATAGCCATAAACTAAAAATATACAAAATTTTTGAAAGGTATGTTAAATATACACAATTCTGTAAATGTTTAAGCCAGCACGGTACTACAATAAATATAATCAGTCACAAAGCAAGGTTTTTTAAATTTATAGATACGTAAATGCACTACACTTTTTACCTGAGCGAACGTCAGTATACTTGGTGGTACTTTAGCTCGCCGAAAATCTGGCACATCTTTTTCCTCCTCCTGGCGAGCTTTATTATGCAGACGCTCAGAATCCCGTAGTGATTCTGCTGTAACATCATTGCTCTGTATATCTTTGTTTATACGTATGTCTCGTATATAGATTGATAGCAGCTTGGTAACCTCTGTGTTAAAAAAGCTGCTACGAAGACAAACTTCTTCAATTTGCTGTAAAATAATTTACTATTGTTAGCATAATTGTCTTCATATTATTAAAATTAGTGCTTACCACAATAAATCCACTTTTACTGACATCTACATTTCGCAACGCAAGATAACGTAAACTAATACTTCCAATTCGTACTTTTACCTTAAATTTTTTAACTAGATACCAACTGATTCCCTTTGGTAGAATACTGAATATTGTTGAAAAATCATCAAATTTCTTGCAAAAGACATTTAATTATATACTTACCAATATGCCAGTAAAAATACTAACAAAACCAATATTATTAATTTAAGCAGCATTTTTTTAAATCATCATTTCTATGCACTTTTCCTAATTATCCATCGATATTAACGTGAATTTTGAGATAAGTCTGAAAAATAACTTTGTTGACGTTTCCCCACCTTATAAATTAAAACAGCTGTTTGTGCTAGTATATGTCAAGGAATAACATTTAAATACAGGGTGCTGATATTTACTGTTAACAATGTTTAAAATGACCATGTAGTAAACGTAATTTAACCTAGAAACAAAAAGATAATTGTTAAATGGGCATTTGTAACTTAAACATTATTTTTAATAGTTTACAAGTGAAAATTCATAAATTAAATAGAATAAAATTAATGTATTTGGATAAAGTTATAAATGTGTATGTATTATATACAAAAAATTTTAAAAGTTATATATTTTTTATATAATATATTACATAATAATAATCGCACGTTGTTTTTTATAAAATTTTTTCCGATTTAATAATTTCGCTGACTGCGAACTGCTACAAATAATTTATGTCGTTAAAATCTCAATTTCAAAGTTTTTCTTACTACTATTTGTATAATGTGGCATCTCTAAGTTATGTGATTGGACCTGTGCGTTGACGAAAAAACGAAAGGTTTTACAATATTTCTTTATACAATTGGAAACCAATAATTTTGTTATAAAAATTGGAAAAGTGTTAAAGCGCATATTGAGTGAAGTATTTTGTTGTCTACCGTGGTTTAAATATATCGAACGTAAATAGTACAGGAACATTGAAAATGGTGATGGCCAATGCATAAGCACCAAAGACTGGCTGTCAGTCACAGGCGTCCCCCGAAGTGAAGTTGGAAAAAATAACAAAATTTTCTTGCCCAATTGTATAAAGACAGATCTTGCAAAAGCGGTACCATTTTTTCTTGATACTTTTAAATACGGCAAAATGTACAAATTAATGTTATAATTTTACATTAAAACTAGTTTTGTGTGGTGGGAAATAACATTTTTTTCGTATCATGTGTGACGTTTTGTGGAAAACAGGATCAAAATACTAAACTCACAAAACTTCATGATAAAACTTTTAGCAGGTAGCAATTTTTTTTCTAAACTACTGCGAGTGTAAAGGTACAATATATGGGAGAAATTATTCAGGATGAACTTGTTTAAATGTTATTCTATTTTAGGTGCTGTGCTTCTGAAGTAATACGTGTAAATTGACTGTTAAAGAGTAAATGCGAAGGGTTGTATTTGCAGACAAGTAACAGATAACGACATGATTATACAGGAGCCTGTGCAGGTAACACAAATTTGTAACTTTTAATAAAACAATAATATAAATATTAATACATATATAAACTATTTACTATTTGTTCGTTCCAAAGGCCGCCATTTGGCATTGCCTAAACTTTTACGATTACAAAGATGCCGTTTTCCTGTCGGAACGTCTCTGCTGTGAAGGTATGCGATAGTACTTAATAAACTATATTACAATGCAAATTTACATTTCATTATTTTCAGTCGAGACAGATGAAACAATTTTTCTGCTCGCCACTAGCTACTACAGATCAAATCTAATACACCAAGCTTATTGGTTACTCAAAGAGAAAGCACGCCGTTCACCGTATTGTCGATTTTTGCAAGCGAAATGTGCTTTTCAACTAAAGAAGTACGCAGAATCTGAGTGTGTGCTGGTCAACGGTGGTTTTGGTGATATAAAAAATCTAGAAGATATTGCGAAAGAATTTGGAGAAATTGCATGTTTTGTGCTGCAGTTGATTGCCCAGATATGTGTTAAAACTGAAAGAAGTAAAATGGCTGCAGAAGCACTACGCCGTGCACTTAAACTCAATCCGTTTATGTGGCAAACATTCGCCGATCTATGCCATATGGGTGAATATGTAGATCCCGCCGCTACGTTCCAAATTTCCAATACGGATGTCTTCAATACATGCCAAGGCAGCGCAAATTCAAATTCCATGGTTTTATGTGGTAATACGGGACAAAATATAACGCTAAACGATAGTAGTAGTCAGTATTTAAGTAACATTGGCATAAATAATCCCTCTTCGGATATCCTAATGAATAATACAAATAATAGTTCAAATTACATACTTTGCACACCAGTTGAGCAACAATGGCAACCGCAACCACAGCCAAATATCATAACGCTCCAGAGTCTAATCACCCCAAACAATAATAGCAGCAATTTAAATAATTCAATGTCCATGCTACGCGGTGTCAACACAGCAAATATATCTGTTGGTAGTAGTTTACAAAATTCTGGCATAATGATGCTGGAAGATACACCAGTTGGTTATACCACCGGCAACAACAGCACTGAACACACTAGTTTAAATCCAATGCAAAATTTCGACGTTGGAGCCGGTACTCCATTTCGCCGGCAATTCAAATACCTCTCAGCAATCTCGCCAACAACACCTAGCTTCGGTATTTTACCCATGCATAGTCCATGCGGTGGTGATTCGTCTTTTGTCGGCACAGGTCATGCACAAACGAATATAAGTGTGCTGAATACACCATCACCACAAACATTAATGGAAGCAAATCAGGAGCCTAAAGTAATTGGAAAGAAAATGAAGAGTCATGTTAGTAGTCTGATAAATCGAAAAGAAAGTGGCACAACCACAAATAAACCTGCAGTTTTCACACAAACTGGCAATGTTACTCCACGCACACCCAATAATCAAGGCGGTGTATCGTCAGGTACGTCTACATTAAAATATTTTCAAATATTTGCAAGTTATCATCATTTAATTTCCAGGTTCACTTATACCCAACGCAGCTGTAAGACGCAGTTCTCGCTTGTTTAGTAATAGTGCCTATTCGGTAAAAGAAAACAACAAATCTCCGAATATTACTAGCAACAAGTTTGCACTGCCACGTTCTCCGCCACGGAAAACTAAGACGCGCATGCCTAAAATTTCTCTAAATAACGAACTGATCGAAGATAAAAGTATTAATATAAATGCGGACAAGCTGATTGAGAAGAACGCACGTAAAGACAAAGAAAAGATTGAAACAATAACATCAGCTACTGGTCACAATCGTTCCATTGAAGACACCAAAGTGTTACTGAACAATAGTTTGAATAACGCACAAACGATGGCGCATCATGTGCTCACACTAAAGAAACAGTCAGCAGATGGGTTAATGTCATTATTGCGCGATTTGGGTGAAGGTTTTAAACTGCTCACACTTTATCAGTGTAAAGCAGCTATTAAACATTTTGAAAGCAAAATACCAAAGCATCACTTGTGCTCCAGCTGGGTACAGTCTCTCATTGGTTTAGCTCATTATGAACTGCGCGCATATGAATCTGCGATTTCCGTATTTAAAGACATACACGAAACTGAGCCCCATCGTTTAGAATTTATGGAGATATACTCATCATCTTTGTGGCATTTGCAAAAAGAAGTCGATTTATCAGCACTGGCACAGGACCTAATCAATCAAGATAAAACCTCACCGATCACTTGGTGTGTAGCTGGAAACTGTTTTTCATTACATAAAGAGCACGAGACGGCAATTAAGTTCTTCAAACGGGCTGTGCAGGTGGATGCCGATTTTGTTTACAGTTACACACTACTTGGGCATGAACTCGTTTTAACTGAAGAATTAGATAAGGCTGCTGACTATTTTCACGCTGCTGTTGCCCGCGATCCACGACATTATAACGCGTGGTTTGGTATGGGCACTATATATTCCAAACAAGAGAAATACGAGTTAGCTGAATTATATTACATCAAAGCATTAAAAATCAATCCGCAAAATTCCGTTATACTGGTGCATATTGGTGCAATGCAATATTTTATGCAGAAAAAGGAGCAAGCGCTGCAAACACTAAACACGGCTGCAATGTTGGATCCGAAAAATCCATTGGCACGTTTTCATCGCGGCTCAATTTATTTCTCATTGGGCAAGCATCAAGAGGCATTGCGCGAACTCGAAGAATTGAAAGAGGTGGTACCAAAAGAGTCGGTAGTTTTCTATTTAATTGGTAAAATACATAAAACTCTGGGTAATGTGGATTCAGCACTTATGCACTTCAGCTGGGCCACCGATCTCGATCCGAAGGGTGCAAATAATCAGCTAAGAGATGCTTTTGACTCAGCCGTGGTACCAATGTTCAGTCCCGCCAGAAATGATCAGAGCGTAGATGCAGATCAGGATCCAGAACCGACATCGGATCGTTCGGATGACTCAACGCAAGCACAACAAGACATAAATTATGACAGTGATGTGTATTGAATTGTTAGAATGAGTGTTTGCTCTTCTATTCCAATGCACTAACGAGCGTTAAGCGTATTCAAAACAAAGGTGAAACCGATTGATATGTTAATGCTTTTTGTGTGTAATATTAAGTGAGTGCTACTACGGTTAATCCACTAACCGACCGAATAACAAACAAACGTAAAAAGACGAAAAAATTTAATTCGAAATTGTCCCCTGGAATAATATGATATGAATATTCAACTAAATTTAAAATTTGCTAATCGAAAGTAAGCTAGATCAAAGAAAATGCGATTAAGAAATACATACATAATTGTGAATTTAATTGTTTATATATACATATACATCATAAATCGGCATACTTTCCAGTTAAGTTGTATATCCAAAGCTATTTTTTTTTTTTAATGTCTACTACAATTGGTTGGGTTATGATTCACTTAATTGCACATTATTTAATTTCATTACATTAAAAGTAAACCAATGAGTTAAAGTAACTGCAAATGTTAAAATGAAAATCGTAGTTAATATTAAACAAAATGTGTATTCCTAGGTACTCTATTGCAAATTAAAACTAAAAAATAAAGTAATTTTATTTCTTATCTCTAGCGGCATACTTAAGAATATGCAATATTAGTTTACTAAAGTTGATAAATTCTTAAAAAGAATTTGTAAATATTTCTAGCTTACAATTTATACATTATTTAAAAGGAATATTTTGTTTTCTGCAGCTATTAATTATGAAATACAATAAACAAGTCGTTGTCGCTGCTGGGGTCGTTAAATTAAGAATACAAATGCTAATAACTAATTACGTTAAATAACTTAACAGTTATTGAATTGAACAAATTGTCTGAAAACGCTGACAAATTGGGACTGGCTATATTTGAAATGAAATAAATGTAAGATCGTTATCGAAGAGGGGCGGTTAGCAAAATAAAAGAAAAACTCATGAAATAATATATAGCATATTTGCAAATCAATAAATACTTACTGATGTATGTGGAAAATATTTATATTTTTTTTTTATATATTTGTGGTATAAGCTTTCCCGGTCATTTTTGTTTGATATAANTGGGGTTAAGTTAAAGCCCAATACTTACAAATAAACAACACAGTGAGTGCTAGATCTTATGAGGAAAGCTCTTATTGCAACATTTTCCTTACTTTCGGCCCTTGTCACTTCCCTAAAACTATGTGAAGAGTATTTTAGAGAGTATGACAACAACATACTATTCATTCCTTAACCATTTAATGCAGCTCTAGTTGTCCGATCTTAACAATTTGTTCGGAGATTGTACCGTTACCTTGGGTAATAATTTACGCCAAAGTTCGTGAAGGTAGCTTTCGAAATAAAAAAGTTTTCCATATTGAACCTTGTCTATGTTCAATCAGTTTATATGACAACTATATCCTATAGCTGTACGATCTCAACAATTTGTTTGGATATTACAGTGGTGCCTTGGTCAACAATCTACAACAAATATCGTAAAGGTATCTTGTCAAATAAATACAGGGACATTAGTTTGGTCGATCAGTTTGTGTGGCAGCTATAATGCTCCGATATCGGCGGTTCCGACAAATTAAGAGCTTACTGGAGAACTAAGTGACAAGTTCGCGTATATGCAGAAGAACATGGCTAAGTCGACTCAGCTCATCACGCCAATCATTTATGTACGTCTATAATTCGACGTTTCCTTTTGGGTGGCAAACTTAATATTGCCTGTACTGGGTATAAATATGCATTTATGTACATTCACAATATCCATAATCAATATGCATATGATCAGTTTGATTAATTTTACAACGATAATTTTTTATATTTATTTATAAAAGCATTATAAATTATTATGGACTTATTTACATATGTATATCTGTATCATTTTTAAAATTTGCTTCCGGTTGAAAAGCAAAAATGACTTTCTGTAAAGTCTCTGTATCCAACTTCATTATCTTCTCAATCAAGTCACGCAAGTAATCGAACTCTATGTTTAACACATATGCCAATGTTTGCAAATGTAAAAGACGCATTCGAAATATTACTTTATCCAATTTTAAAACATCACGTATGTCATCACATCCGAACAGTTCTCGAAGAGATTCCGGCAGCGATATTGTGGAAGTGGATGAATCTAAATCAAGTGATTGTGTTAATTCTGGCGTGGGAAAGTGTATTTCTGGTTGAACATTTGACTCCATCGCTTCAAAAAATTGCAATTGTTGAGGATTAATTAAAGTGTTGGTGTAGTTTTGATTGACAAAATGATTCGGATACATTGGAGGTAATAGTGAGGTATTGTTATAGCAATAAAAATCATTATTCTGCCTCGGCTGGGCATTTGCTGCAACTTGCAGCAATGGATTTCTTATGGGGTTAAAATAATTATCAATTGATATGATAGGTGGTTTTACTTCAACCTCATTTGAAACAGGTTCGATGCGACTTTTTTTATATTGTCTAACGCTTTTAGACCTAGTATAACCTCTTTTTCTGCCTCTTATTTTAGTTGCTGCTGCAGATGGTACGGTTGGACATCTAAATTTATATTGAAGATAAAGATTGGTTAGAGATTCACAATTTCTAATATGCGTCTCCGCTTTATAGTTCTACATATGTTGCATGTGTGTATTCTTTATGCAGACATAAAAGGCGTAATATATATTATTTTTTCTCTTACCGTTTATTCTGAGCCCGCTTCACAGATTTTAAACTACTTTTTTTTGATATATTACTATTACTTGTATTTATATCTTGTAACGCAGAGTTGGTCTTAGAAATATTTAACAAAGTGTTTTTGTTAACGTCTGTGCCTTGAACCTCACTTATTTTTTTGAATAACTGAGGTAAGCGTTCATTACTGTTACTTCCGTTATCCGTTTTGCCTCCTAAAATTTGAATTTGTTGCTTAACATTCCGATCATCAGAAGTTAAATAGCTACTTTCATCAAAACAATTAGGTTTATCCGCAACATCTTTACATTTAATAAGTCGTTGTGATCGTCGCATTTAAAGTAATTAGTATTTATTATTATATATAAATAATTAAGTAATTCGACACGGAAGTAGGTTTGTTCACTTCCGATATTTCTAACTCAAAGTATACACGACGACCAACTTTTGGAGGACATTTATGAGTATAAAAAACGTTAGTAACATTTCCTATGATATGCACATCACTTTAACTCCATGGCTCGTTAGTTCAAATCATAGATAATAGGCAAGAGTTAAAAACTATAAAGTTAAAAGATTTGCGATTACTTTCTTTGCTATTGTGAATTACTGATATCGAAATATACCTAATCGATATTTTCTAAATCCGATACACTTATATGTGAATAACAAAATATCGTTTGAATTGATTACCATTGATTTATTGCTCAAATTGTAAAAACTTTTATTGTAGTTGCTGAAAGAAATGGCGGAAAACGACAATAAACAAAATTCGAATGCAAATTTACAAATAATACGTGATCCTAATTTAGCAAAGAATCGAATTTTTGTTGGCAATCTTCCAACGTGTACCCGTGAACAGTTGGAAAGTATATGCCTCCCTTATGGGAAAGTATTAGGTTCACTGGTGCAGAAAAATTTTGGTTTCGTTCAATTCGAATCAGAGGAAATAGCTAATAAAGTCGCGTCATCATTGTCCAAATCTATATTTAAAAGCAATGTAATTACTGTGAGGAACGCTGCATCCAAGCAAGCCCCTAAGCGACCGGCGTCTGATAGCGTTGTACTTCCAACAAATATGAATGCCGGCTATTTTGGAGGACCAGAATCTATGCCTACAAATACCACGCCAAATATGAATCCAGATTACAATGATTGTGAAATAATCGTAATTGATCGACGAAATACGTAGGTTTCATAATAAAATTTATTCATACATGTTTTGAAAACTAATATATTTTATATAATAATTTTAGAAAATACGCGGAGTACATTGAACAGCGTCTTAAAGATATAAATTTAAGAGTGGATGTGCTTTTCCCGAACGAGGATGTGCCACTCGGCAAAGTTTTAATAAATATCTCGTCTCGAGGCTGCTTGTATGCAATATTGATAACACCACAGCATGAAGAACACAATAGCATAACAGTCAACATATTATATGGTCAGCCAGCAGAGCATCGAAATATGCCCGTGGATGATGCAATAATGTTGATATCAAAAGACTTTCGCCAGAAAATGGCTAACGATGTGATGAAAAAAACAGCATTTGCTGCATCTCTACCAAAACCCATGCCAGGGGTAAATATGGGTAATCCTATGCAAGAAGATCGCCATCCCAGTGCTATTCAAACGCTTTTAAATTTACTTTCGGACAATATGCCGCTTACAGTTCTTCAATATGATAGAATAATAAAATATCTTCAAGAACGGCGAGAACATCAAGTAAAAATAGAACTTGGCGATGCAGCAGATATAGCAACAAAAGTGCCCGATCCTGAAATTGAACTACAGAAGAGAATTCTAGATATAATGAATAAACCGTCGGTAGCTGAAACACATTACAAATTATTATATCCCACGTTAGAAGCAGTAAGATCCGATTACCGAGTTATGGATCTCTTAAAAGATATGCGCGTACAGAGGGCCCTTGAATCGTTAATGGATTCTAGTTTGGTAGGAACTGTAGAGAACTACATGAAATATTAGTTTAATATAAGTTTTATTAATAAACCAACTTAAATTGCACTATATTAACTTTGTAAAATTGAAATAACGAACTTATGGCCAAGAACGTTTTGCATTATAGCCTTCAAATTTGCCCCGATACTTTAAACCCGTTACAAGAGTCGAACTCTTTGGGAATGCGGTCTGACCATTAAACTTTGTATCGGTGTCTGGATTAAAACGTACGTAATCATGTTGTATATGTAAATTTTCTGGAAGTTTAGCATTCTTTAGAGCATCATAAGGTACAGTGGTGTTCACAGAGGTCTCGTAAAATTTGACTACATCACCTGAAAATAGAAGTTATATTCTAGTTTTATTAATAATTTTGGTGGCGGAATTTTCAGGTTTACCTATACTTTCCAATTCATGAATCTGTGAATTTGGGACGCTATGTTGAAAATCTTGAAAACATGCATCTAAAAATTTAAATTTTTCTTCCAAATTTTCTAATTTATAATCGTTGGCGAAGGATATTTTTAGATTGTTACATATCGAGCGTACTTTGTCCGGAACATTTTGAGGTGGACGATATGGCTTTTGTGACCGCAAGAACCTGAATAAAATATTGTAAAATTAATTAATTGTCACTGAAATTTATCTTTATTATAACAATTCCCACAACAGCCGGTTCTGCGATACCGGAATTGACCCGGATTTTATCCGGCCAAGGGCTGTTATTTCGACGATCTAACCCTGTTTGGATCGGTAAGTTTTAGATTTTTTTAGATCTTTATTATAAGTACCCTTTGCAAGCCAAAGATTTTCCCACATCGGTCACATTTCGTTGCGCGTGTGCATGTGCTTTTTTAGTTGCCGCAGTTGAATATGCTGATAGTATGTGCCATGTTTTCTGCTATAATAGTATATAATATATTATCGGCGTCTTACAACATTTAAAATAATACTTACATTTAAATATATCGAAAATTGTACACTTTTATATAAACTCATCTTGATGTTTTCTACTTCAGTATCAGATGTAATAACCTCTTCCTCTTTACTAAAAATTAGATCACAATAGCATTATTAGTATAGCCGAAATAGACAAATATATTAACTTGATAGTTTGTATATTTTGGTTGATCGTTTCATATCAATGTTTTTTTTTTATTTAACAGATATAACCAAATACATATATTGTAACAAAATATTTGTTTCTTAGTACTTTAATGTTTGTTTGGTATTTATTTGCTGGCACTCTTGAAGTTAACTGTTATTTATCGAACTTACCGTGCTTTTATTTATTTTTTATATACGAAATTGTTGAAGATTAACTTCTGATTCTGAAATTTTATATACAGACATACAAATTTAATGTATGTAAATTTTTGAAAATTTTAAAGAATGTTTACAGGTTTATTATTAAGATACTCGTAGTATTTTAAAATTATTTCATCGATCGGATAAATTATAGATATTTTTTTGGCAGAGAATGTCATCTCTAGTTTCTAAACTGTTGAACTTGACAGCGAAACGCCGATTCAATGGCTTCACAATATTAGAAGAAAGCACGGTGTTGAAAATTTGGAATGGTTTCAGTTTGATTAATAATAGAAGTAATTATAATTTTGAACATAACATAGTTTTGCTAAAATGATATTTGCGCAAATATAATTAAACGATTCGTATGTGAAATAAATTTTGCAGCAGTGAAGGATTTTGCATTAACTACGATTGGCGAGACCAATATATATTCGGTGTTTACAACAACGTTTGTTAAAATGAGTACGATGGATATATGACAGGAAAGTGAGAGGAAATCAATTATCCCACCCCCTAGACCCAGTGTTGTGTTTTCACGGCGCCAAACCAATTTTTATGATTTTGTAATATGAATTCATTGTAATTAATTATTTATATAAATAGCAAAGAAATTGACTGCAAGTTGCCGAAAATAAATTAAATAGTTTTTTTTTTAATATTGTAAATCTGTTGAAAACATTCGAAGTGAATACTCTATTAAACGTTGATAAAGCAATATTATGTGAAAGAGGGTAAACCAAAATTCTTCTTAAATTTCACCGTTTAAACACCAAAGCAAAAGTTGTGAAATTTAGAATGGTGTATCATAAATTTATTCAAACTTAAACTTAACTTTTCCATCGAAAACCACATTTAAATGTAGGAAAATACATCACTGATTGCTTTTACTAAGAATTGGCTTTTTCTCTTATAATCGCCATTTTCGATTCCACAGTCGCAAATGTCATGTCGTCGTTACCGTCAGCAATTCGATTTGATTTTGGTTGGTAGTGTTCGGTATTCGTATATTTAATAGAAATTTTGTTTAAAACAATCGGTTTATAAATCATCTCGAACAAGGCAAAGTGTAAGAGAACTTTAAATAAGTAAATAGTGTATTGCTAAACATAAAAAGAATCCAACGGATAAATCTTCAAAAGACTTGAAAATATCGATTGGTCTTTATTAAAAAAAAAAGCATAAAGAGTGCGAATGGAAAGTGGAGCAAAAGTGTACCATATGCATGTGTGCATACTCCTCATATTTGAAAGAGATTGTGTGTATAAGTAGATGCGTGAAGTGTGGATTACTCTTTATATGTGCTAATAGGAGAATTTGAAAAGGGAAGAACGGAAGAACTAAGCGGGAGAATTAAGTGAATTGTGCGAAAGTATACAAAAAATGAATATAATAGATTTGCATAGAATATGCTGAAAGTCTCCTATTAACGCTTTAAATTCAAAGAATTTGCTATGCTTGACCAACGAATTGTTTATTAATAATTTCTTAATTTAAGTTTTCTAATGTTAACGTTGTATGTATATAAAAACAATCATAATTATTTATAAATAATCCTTCAAAGGTAGCAAAGAAGTAATTCATTATTTCCGACAAAAAATAGCAGATGCAACAACAAATTGTATTTAATAAAAATTGTCCAAGTGATTGAAGCAAAGAAACAACAGTAATAACATGTATTTGATTAAATTAAAAAGAGTGTAAAAGGCGAAAGACACTAGCAAGGATAGCAAGATAGAGCAGACGCTTGGGAGAAATAGAAACTAAGAAGAGCCGAAGAGAAACTGAGTTATCCCAACCGTGTTGTTGTTTTTAGTTGCAGTCACTGCTGCAATGTTCTTGTAGTCGTCTCTCATCGATTCAAATTCGAATAGAGTTAATATTGGCTAATCCACCGCCCCATCGCGGGTATTTACTAACAGTAGGCTCGTCTATATATATTTTGAAACTACATTTGAAGAAGGAAATAAATATGATAATTCAAGTGGTTTTAAAATTACATTGATATATTACATTTAAAGGAACCCATGAATTTCACAATTAAAGACGTTCATAATTTAATGCTTTAGAAGTGACAATAAATATGAATGCTAATTTGGTTTCCATAATCTTTAAAAAAAAAGACCAGGCATTATATTTCCACGTCCTTTATTAACACGATATATTACTTTCTATTTCCTTTCCATAAGAGCTTTAATTGTTATTTGAAAAAACAATCACATAAATTAGCTGAAAAATTGTAATTTCTTTTCGGATATATCCAAATGCTTCCAAATTCTTTGGAGAATTTAAATGTCTTTTTTTTATAGTATTTTTTTTTACATTAAAAAAGATTTGTAAAATCAATTATAAAAATAGTAGTTTTTACATGAATATATTGATGTATATGGAACATGGAATTATTTAATTCTGGTATTTGACTAAACATTTGAGTCATAATGACTCCGAGAATTGATTCCTTATTGTTTATACATATGTATTTTCAATGGACAATGTTTAATTAAAAACTTGCTTGCGCATTTCTCTTAAAACATATACCTATATGTATGTACGTACATAATATAATGTATATTTGTAAAAGAGTTTCGCATTGCTAAGATGAAAACTAAGATTATAGGACCACTGTTTGAATTAATGAGGGTTTATGAGATAACGTCTCCTAATATACGGTGGGTTATTGGAATGTGGGCTCTGACTCGACAAAGTAGCTGAGGTCGACCGCTATGTGTCGGCTTTTTATTTTACTAGAGCGCAAAGAGAACACCAACCGTCGCGTTCCGCACTTAAAATACTCTCTTTTTTTATGCCTATCATATCGAGAGAAAAATTTGATTTTTCTAAATCTGTTTCATTATTACTCTCTCCTTTAACTAAATCCTTTAAATATTCTAATTTACAAGTGTGATGTATGTGTTTATTATACATATGTACAATTCAATGTGTTTTTTTGTTGGGGAAAAACAATGAAATAAAAAAGTTTATTTCCTAGTTTTGAGTTGTAAATCGAAAATACTGAGAACAAATGCAACCCTGTTTGGTGTTGTTGTTGTGGTTGTTGTCTCTTTCATCTGCGATTCGGTTCATTTCCATTCCGAAGTAGAAATAGAAGCAAAAGTAAAAAAGACAAAATTTCCATTGTGTATAGACGACTTTGCAGCACTTGTATGTCGTTTATTCGTTGGTTAACATTTTTTCTTGTTCGCTATCGCTGTGGTCAATAATATTTCTAGTGAGGAAGAAATTTTATTAAATAATTTTGCAAAACCGAATAATACGTGAAAAATTAATAATTTTTACAAGAAAATCAAATGAATAATTGTATATAAACATGAGATTACTCATGTTGACTGCATAAATTCAAGGTGTTTTTTTTAAATATAAATTGTTTGTTGTATCGAAAAAATTCACAACTTTTACAATACCGCAGAAGTAAAAAGTTTTCATGTTAATATACGCAAGCATACAAGCGCGTATGTATGTATATAGGTATGTATATACCTAAGTATGTAAAGAGGAAAAGTGCACATCTGTTCGTTAGATGCGTTAACAGTGAAACAAATTGCAATAAAAGTTACAATATTAGTGAAAGCATACAAAAATGTGATAAATAATAATTAAATATTTCTTAATACATTTTATTCACCAGGTTTGATATAATCAAAGAATATAAAATTCAAAATTTTATTAAACTCATCTAAAGTAAAATTCATACGCATCATACGAATAATTGAAGAAAAATGTCTACACAAAATATTTGAGCATGCAGTGGAAAATTTAATAAACTACATACATTACCTACCTATTATTTTATATTTTGTCTACATCAACATCAACGATTAACGAAAAGCCAGCAACAAACGGTGAACCACAAGCAAAGCAACCAGTCATTCAGGCAACGACCATCGACTTTCATCGCAATTCGCTCTCTTCTCATTATGTTGCGTCGCAACAAAGCAACAAAAAATCTGAGGGGCATCGGTATTAGTCGGTGACTGTTGTGTCGAAAACAGTAGTAGCAGTGTTGGTGCTACCCTTCATCATCATCAACAGTGCACAAGAAAACAGACAAAAATAATACACTAAATAAAAGCAAAAAATAATAAAAGTGTTCATACTCGCGCGCGCCGCTGTTCTTTCTATCTATCGTAACGTCACCGGTTCTCACATTGTGCACCACTCGTCTGCTCGTTTGTTGGCCGCTTACTCGTTCGCACGTTTAGTTAGTGCCGTTTGTGCCGTTTCAGACAGGGACGCAAAAGAGTCTCATACCAGTTTATTGTGGGCGAGGGGACGACGAGGAAAGACGAAGGGACCGTGCCACTCGTGTTCGGGTGGCACGCTTTGTGTTCTTTTTCGTAACAGCTCGCTGCTACCCTTTTCAGCATTCCTTTTCACTTTCAAATCCTTTGAATGGTTGCAAGAGCGCTCGGTTTCAAATGAATTCGATCGCAAATTTGAGTTCTGTTATCTATTTTTGTATGTAATATGCAAATATGTATGCATAGAATAATAGAAATATTATGACAAATTGTAAATAAGGAGAAAATTAAGATATAGATTATGGAGTAAAGAAATTATGAATTTTTAATATGGAGTAAAGAAATTATGAGTTTTTAATACTTAAAGATTAGGAAATTCCTATTATAAATTTGGCCTTGAAAATATTAGTAGCGGATATTCAATACATTCTTGTGGATTAGGGAATTCCCGTCTTTAGTATTTTTTTGAAACTATTTAGCGGGTAGGTACTTGTACTATGCATATTGTTCTACCATATTCATGGTAATTCATTGCAAGCAAAATGTGTGACCATCATCTCAACATACAAATGAAATACGCAGCACGCAGTGTTGCGCGGTGTTGCGCAGTCGAACCGCACAAATATTTACGAACATTTTGTGAAAAGGAATGCAGAAAAACTAGACTCGAGTTGCTGGACTCTTTTTGACCGTGTGAATGCCCAGAGCGACACCAAAAGAAAATTTGAAAAACATCCGACTCTTTTGCATCCCTGTCTGAAACGGCACTTAGTATCCCGTTCAGTTGTGCTGTTTATCGGTGGCGGTAGTGTGGTAGTGTTTGTTGTTGCACGAGTCGTCGTCATCGTCATCAGTGGCAAAACTCGTGCAAAAATTGCGAAGAGCACAAATTTCATTGTCGCTGAACTATGGTGTTTGTTTGTGTGTGTTGGTGAGAAATCGTAGTCGCAGTAGCGACTATAGTCGATCGTAAACGTCGACAGAGTTGTTAGTGTTTGTCAATGTACTAAATGCACACTGGTGTTAGTAATATTGTGGTTGGTTGGTAATTTCGAAATTGATTTACCTGAATCCGAATGTTAATTCGAATCGGAATCCTAATCCAGTATAGTGTTAAAAATGTAAAGCGGAATACAAAGTAAAGAAAAAAACGAAATTGTAACAAATAAAAATTGAGTGCATGGAAAACCAAAGAAAGTGTTTAAAAATAAGAAAGCAAGTAGAATAAAAGATAAATATAAAATAAAAGCATCAAATCATAAACAAGTAGTAAAAAAATATCTAAATATTCGTTTTTATTACTTAGCGACCAAAATTATTCAAAAGTCGAAATAATAAGTATAAGTGAGACGAAGAAAAATAGTGTATAAAAAAACAGTAACAGTAGTGCAACAAGGGCACTTCCTAATTTCTACCTGTGTGTCAGACCGTTATAACGTTTGCGTGTGTGTATGCGCTTGTGCGAGTTTATTTATCAGCTCGCTTTCGCATAGTATGCGATACACGGCAGTTGATCAAAGCATAACCAAAAGTTATAAACGGCAAAATAACGATAGCACTATATAATTCATATGAATGTAACAGTAACAGAGCAAACGACACGGTAATGACGTAGGCACTATAGTGAAAATAAAGCAAAAATATCGTTTAGTTATACAAAATACAGAAGCCACGAAGCTTTTGTCTTGAGTGGTGCTGCTGTGTAGTTCTCATTTAATTGAAATTTTTGCTGAGACGCAAATTACTTATTATCAACGATAATTGAGAAAATGAGGAGCTGTTGTGTAAAAAAAATACATGAACTATGACGCATCAAAATCATCAGACCAACGGCGCTAGTTTGGAGGATTGCCATACAAACTTCTTTGCCCTGGTGAGTTTTAAATTTATAAACAAAAAAAAAAAGTACATGCATAAATATTTCTGTACCGTTACGACCATAAAATCAATATTATTGTTTCAAAAAGTACTTTGGTCTTAAATATACTCCCAACAATTCATATGCAATACCTTGCTTACCTCTCACGAATTCCCGGCAATATGTGAGGGAGTGAGTTGTCTTGTTAGCAGAAGAGAGAATTTGAGCCGCATACTTTGATTTGTTCACCTATGTATTTATATAAATAGTGTTTGTTAGATTTTGCAAAACAAACGTAAATATATGTTTTTTTGTTTGGTTTAAATACATATTATTGACTTGGGCAGAGCATGTGTTGCTTCGATGTTTGTTTCTTACTCCCACCTGACTTGTTATGTTTTAACGTTTTACAGTTTCACTTAGGGGCTTGTTGCTCTTATACAGTGTATGTGCGAAATTATACAAAAACCCAACACTGTCGCGTACACAAGCTTTTCATAATATCAATACGAAAAGCTGTGTGCCTTTGTTAAAAATAAACCATTTTTAATGTACATATATAGATCTTTGTTGATATGTGTACATTTCATGTAATAAATAATTAGTTAAATATTTAAAAAAATAATTTTTTTGTTTTTGTAAATATATATTTTGCTAATGTCTTCTGTTATTCGTTCTGGTTTCCACCAACCTCTAAACACAAATTTACAGTATTTATATTATAGTATTTCTGCAAATAAAAGTCACCTGTATCTATGGCTCAACTATTCATGCATTATCTGTCAAAACAACTGTAACTTACATCGTTATATAAAGTCAGATTTAATTTCAAGCTGCCTAGTAGTAGTCTTAATATTAAAATTTTATTCTAATTACGATACTATTTGCATCAACTGTTGTTTCTAACTGTTTTTTCTTGGCATAAAAAGTAAATAATATATTTTAAATAATTTGTATTTTGCTAACGAGTTAACATTACATTTCGAGAGTAGATCAAGGTTGTAGCGGAACAAAATGTCTGATTCATTTTATATATAGGGAGCACTCTTATTTTATTTTTATTATTTCTTTCCACTATTTATGACCAATATTTAATATGTTTGGTATTTTCGATTTCGTTGTAGCATTTATTGTGGCTGTCGGTTATATTTATTTACGTATACACTTGTACACATTATATACTTACATTATATGTACATATTTATATACAAATATAGCCGCCAGTGTGCTTTAGCGCATCATTTTCTTCACTTGTTCCGCTGCGGCTGTATTTCTCTCCCGTATATTTAGCTCATTCGTTATTCCTTTTTTTTATATTTTTATTTTATTTATTTATTTACCTTACACGTGTATGTGTGTGTTCGTACTCATTTCCAAAGTCAAAGCAAATAAAAAATGACAACAGTTTCATTCCTAATTGGTGCTGGTGTTTTGTTGACTTCGGCGAGTAGGTGCTGCTTACATTTAAACGTATAAATGTTTGCTGTTTACCACAGTGAAGTGAACATTGAGAATTGCAATTTTTTGGCGCTTGCCCCACCAAAGATAATGCTTACGGCTGAAGACCGTTCGCATGTTCCACATTCTTTCGCCGCTTTGGCCATGTTTTCGTTTTCAATGCATACTCGTTCTCTTTTCAAGGTGTGTATGTATGTATGTATTTTTTTGCGCGTGCATACATATATTTATGTGTATATAGTGTACATATGCAAGTAATATTTGTTTTTATTTTTGTTGCTTGTAATTTCCTTCTTGTTCGTTATGCTCTATGAGTATCGGCAATTATATTGAGCGAATTGTGTATTTTCATCTATGCTACAACTTTTCTCAATTCGTATATATTCTTATGTTTCATATAAGTAAGTTTTGCATTTGTTGTTTTTGTAACATTTAAATATATTTGATGAATGCACCGGTATTGAAAGTTTTTGGTCGGTTAAGAATAGACTCATCTCATAGATCCGTTTGTGTTAGGTAGATCCGACTCGCGTGGAGTCGGGAATAGCATCCGGTTAAAGCAACAATAAGCCTGCTCATTTGCCGGAACCGTGGATATCGCACCACTATTGCATATATTAGCTGTCATACAAATTATTTGGTTCCCGAAATTTGCCGAGGCAATGCTAAAATATCCGAATATATCGTTTAGATCTGACCACTATAACATGTAGCTGTCATACAAACTGACCGCTCAAAATCGTGCTAAAGATCTTACCCTTTTACCGATGCAGTCGGAGTTAACGTTTTTTCTTGTTTCATTCCCAAAATTTAGTATATTCCTGGGGTATGTGGCTTAGTTTTTATTTTTTGTTTATCGTAAGAAAAATAAAAGCATCCACTTCAATCTGCTTGTTGGATTAGCTTTACCTTCCGTACGGCCGATATATAATCCTTGTAAATTTAACCTGCACCAGCATCCATGACAAGTGTTCTCCCCACACTGATATTGAATCTTCTAATTAACTATAAAATTAGAACAGGCTAGGCTCTATGTCTGTCTAAAAGAATAGCATGCAAGGCACATTGTGGGGTGAAGTTCGATGTCAACGACATCCACTAGCCTTGAGGAAATAAACACTGGTCTTTCACTTCGTGATGCGTTAGTTTTCTTATTTTTCATAGGTCTAGTTATGCTTAAACATATTCATATTTTTTCAAACAAACCCTCTTGTAAAAAAACTATTATTTTTACTCCTTTATGTTCTGACTTGTATTGTATTATAAAAGGTTATCCAGAACCTTTGTTTGCCATTTTACATTTAAATATTTGTAGAAATTTTCATAATCCAACATTGTCTTATGGTATTCTAATTCTATCTTTTCAGACTGATTTATGCGGAATTAAATGGCGTAAGTTCGTAAACAGCGAACGAGTAAACGCGTCAAGTGATCCATTAGATGATCCCATCCTGCGCTCCTATTCACGATGTATGCAAGCTGACATTCTATGTGTGTGGCGTCGCATACCGTCCACCAAGCAGGATAATTCGGATTTGAATCCGATTTTTGAGATTAGTACATCGAAAGTTCATCCACCACTTTCGTTAGCCGCTGCCAAAGAATTATGGATATTTTGGTATGGCGAAGAACCAGACCTTAGTGAATTGGTGGATGCGGAATTGTTGAAAGTTGCCGGTAAGTCAAAACACTATGAATTATTATAGTAAATACTTTTTTTTTATATTTTGTGCATAAATTGGGCGATTTTCTAGAGTTCGTTAGTCCTGCTTCTGATGCTATGTAAATTAGAATATTAGTAGTCCATGCAAAACTTGATATTCGTAATAAAAATTTTGTTGATTTTTTTTAAAAGACAACATCGATTTTCTGAGTTTACGAAGAAGTTAATTCTCCTCATTTATATATCATACATATGCATTTAGTACAATAATAATTTTTAGCAATTATTATTATACCCGAACAGGGTATATTAAGTTTTGAAACGTCGGAGACCCTGTAAAATATTTGTATATATACCATAAATGACCATGTCCATCTGTCTGTATATACGCCAATTAGTTCCTCAGTTTTTGAGATATCGATCTGAAATTTTGCACATATTCTTCTTTTACCAAGAAGCTGCACATTTGTCGCAACCGGCGATATCGCATAACTATAGCCTATAGCTGTCATACAAACTGACCGATCAAAATACAATCCTTATATGGAAAAATTTTGTATTTGACAAGATATCTTCAAGAAATTTGGCATGGATTACTGTCCAAGGCATCGCTACAATCTCCGAAGAAAATGTTCAGATCGGATTACAACAGCATATACTAGCTGCTATACAAACTGACCTATCAAAATCAAGATATATGTATATTTTTTTTATACCCTATAAGAAATGCACCTGTGAAGGGTATTATATCTCTGACGATTTTTTCTTGTTTTTTGTTTTGTTTTACTATCAAACCGTTTTCGTTTGTATTAAACAATGCCGCGTGCAACACTTTCTCTTTTTTGTATTTTTTCGCTAAATATTCTGTATGCAAAAATATATTGTATACAACAAAGGCAATAAACAAATAAAAATGATTAAAAAATGCAATCGTGAGAAAAATGAAAAAGTTGAATGCCCGAGAGTTGTGTGATGTAGGTATGGATGAGATGTGCATGGGAAGAAAGTGAGTTAAAAAGCGGATAAAGCACAGAGCAGGTGATGATTGCGGCGGTTCATAAGCCTATGCACATAGTACATGTGCAGCTGCATGTGTGTGCGCTTATACAGGTTAGATACGACGTGATTGCGCGTGGCTGGTGACAGAGTTTTTTTCTGCCGACAGTTTGATGGAATTTCGAAATGCTTTGTTTGTAACTTCCTGTAAGCTGCTCTCATGATATTCGTATTTGCCTAAGTGCAGATATTTATTGAGGCACAAGCGTGTTTATGTTATTACATGCTGATGCCATTAATCAAAGCATAATTACATATATATGTATGTATGTATGAATGTATATACAAATGTGCATAAGTTTTTTGGTTAACTACTTAGAGTTATGTGTGTATGTATGTATGTCTACAAAAATACGGTAGTTTTGAAGTGCAAAGCTAAGATTAGATTCGGGCATTCGCCAATACATATTCTCTGCAAAAAGGCTGAATGGCCTTGCGGCTACAGCAACAACAACAATGCAACAATGGTATCATCCAATTTAACGCAACTCATCCGTCGTCTTACATCTGCCGGTTAGAAGTGTTGTTGGTGAGTGTGCCATTCATCCGCCCGCTTGTAAGAAAATTGGCAACGGCGCATCAAGAGTTGGTTTTAATACCAGTTGTGTGATAGACGTCACAATCTGATTTTTATATTCGTACACATTAATATATAAATAGGTATGTATGTCCGTATACCAAATAGTCTCTGGCGTAAAACAGCTGTCGTGTAAATGCTAATGTAGTAGTAAACACCTCGCCGCTGCCCACTTTCTTACCTATCTACATATATACGTAGTACGGATTTTATAATTTTTCGAATTTTCTCATCACGCAGTTATGTGTATTGTTTACGTTCGTTTCGCTAGCGCTAGAGCTCTTTGACTCTTTACTGAGTGTTGAGTCAATATTTGTATCGCTCTCTTTATACAAGTTTTCTTCTCGACTGCTGCAATCTCATTCTCTATGCTTGGTATGCGCAAAACAATAATAAGCTGTAGATATAGTAAAACCTGTTTGTTCGAGAATCGAGAGGGTACGTCATGGGAAAGCCTAAATGCACATACATACCGATATATATGCCTTTGTGTATTTACATACATTCATATAGGTATGTCCATGTACATTTGTAATCGTTGTCCCATACTTAACAACTTGTTTAGCTATTATTCCCCATGCAAACACTTGTAGACATGAATAACTGGCATTTCTTCAAATGTATGAAGTAATGTATTGAGTTCAAAAAATAAGGGCTTGACATTTAGAATTTTGAGGCTTCTTAAGTTGGCCTATTAACATTTCGATATACGATTAATTTTCGCAATTCTAAGGTAAGGTAAATATAGCAGCCTTGGGAATCGTATTTTCAAAATCACTCGTATGCATTTAAAGTCTTGCTTGTAGACAAAGAGTGATAGAGAGAAGATAGTTGAAGAAGATTTGTAAAAGTTTCATCATAATTGTAAAAGTATTGTGTTGCTGTTCAGACGCTACAACAGAAAACATCTCTGAAGTAATTTGGAGGAATGCCGTGTTGACCGTGCTTGCCCGGATATAAATCCGGGTTCGTTCCGGTTATGTAGACCTCACTGTCGTGGGAACGGAAAAATTGTTTCTCTTTCTTTTGTTTATGAGTTCATGAAGCATTAACTTCAAAATCTCTACCAAAAAGGCAACGGGATGAAAGTGTCATAGTGAAGTTCTCTACAAGCTGAATAATTTGCATAAACAAAATCGAACTTCAATGAAGCTGTGCCAATTTGAAAACCTTTGTTGTTGGTGTTTGTTTTGTTTGATTCGTAAACAAATAACAATTTTTGACAGATATGGTAAATATTTACATATGACTGTGGTTTTGACGCTTGTATCCTGTACCTTTTAGATCACACTACCATCCCTTTACGCCCCTTAATCCAGACCAGTATAAAAGGAAATGTAAAATGTTTGCATTGATTAGTATAAAATTCAATTTTATTATATGAGATGTGTTAATAAGAAATAATAATTTGAACATCAAGTTCAATTTTTGAGATAGCCTTTAGCTCTTTTATTGATGCGCCTTTAAGCTTCTCCTTATTTTTGGAAATAGGAAAACGTCACACGGTGCCATGTCTGCCGAATATGGAGGTTTGGGCCTCATTACAGTATTGTTTATGACCACGAATTCACGAACAAGCAAAGAGTAAGCTTTTAACAAATGAAAATTGCCAAGCGCGCAAAAACACATCTAACCTTAGCGGTTGCTATAGACAAAGTAAGCTACTATTGAAATACATAGCAGTCATAAAAACTGTATGATCCAAATCAAGTTCTCGTATGGAAAACTTTTTTATTTGAGAATCATCTTCACGAAATTTGGCATATATTTTGACAGATAAAAATTAAGATTTAGGTATACCCTTTATGCTATAAGAAATGCACCTGTGAAGAGTATTATAACAAAGTTAAAATGTTTCTTGTTTTTTTTTTGTATATAAATTTACACAGAAAATACTATTGTCGTAAGAATTTTACATATTTTTACATATTCCTATCAATTCAAACTCCCACGCCGATCATTGCTCTTTTTTATATTCCCTTATACAAAGAGTTCATCCTTGTGAATTTAATATACACAGCCAAAGGTACATGCATATACAAATATAAATATGCATTGATGTTGGTATGAAATATGCGAAAATTAAAATGTCATATAGACATATTTTGTTTTTGTGAAGCGGACGTTAGTCCCAAAGTTAAATACTAATAGTAACTAGTTTTGCCGTTTTTTTTTTTTTGTAAAGTTATTAAAATTTCGTTTACGGGAAAATCTTTAGTTGTGACACATTTAGCATGTGATATTTGTAGCAACATACCTACACATATACACACAAACATATTTTCATGTTCACGTTAGCGTTCGCCAGTGTTAACTTGCGATTATAATGACCCTCATTGGAAGTACTTGTACATAAGCACACACACGCACAAGCATATCAAAATCAAAACACAAACACAACTATGAATTTCTGCTTGAAGATAAAACAAAATTTGCTGTTTTTGCTTTGCTCTCATTAACGGTGTCTACTCGCACGCCTGTTTGGTAGCATTTTACTTCGTTGATTTGCCCGCATCCGTAGTAATACGTGCATACACGCATACATATATTTTGTGCGAGTTTCTTATTTCAGTGTCGTGCTTTGGTCTCATTTTACGGGTTATTGCACTGCTTAACAACGACGGAATGGACCCACTGAATATGTAGATATGTATATAAATATATATGTACATATACATATGTATATGTATGTACTGCCAACATATAAAACATGCACACATTTTAAACGGCACAGGCCGGCGAGACCTGCTTAGGTAAGGCGGACGTTCGGTTCGCTTGTGATGCCTGCTGACAATGAAGAAGCAACTGTGAATAACAGAAAACGAAGACAGAAACGCAGACAAAAGGTAAATTTATGCTGTTAAAATTTGAAAGAGAAGAATTCAACAGCATTTCTGTTTACGAGGCTACCTGGTGTGCTGTTAAGCTGGTTAATTTGCTAGTGGTGGCACGCTCTTTTCTTTCCAATCGTAAACATTGAATATTTGCGCAAAAATTTAAGGCAAAACAATACAAATATATCTGTTAGATACTTACACATACATAAATATTTACATATATATATATGTATATAATACAATAAAAAGAGCTTTTCGGCTCGTTATAGGCATTTACCGCTAAGATTTGTTGTCTGTTATAACTGTTATTCATATTTTGATGGCAAATGTTCGGCGATATACAAACCAACATATACATATATCAACACTTTTGTGCACTCACCTCTTTGTGAGTAATTTTTGCGTTTAGTAGTATATGGCTTTGCATGTAGGTGTGCGATGTGTAATTTCTCATTTATTTAGTAATTTACGCTAATTGGAAGAATGGAAATCCGCGTTTTAATTCTCTGGACTTACTTTTTTACGCGTGTGGAAATTTTTAACCTCACATTATTTCTATTGCAACTGCAATAAATATTTTGTTTGACAAATTCACCCCTAAACAGATTTGTAGTAAGAGGCAATATGAGCGCAATGCTGCACCGCAGTGGTAATACCATCTACATGTGTATATACCAAGGTGTTTGATGCTCTCAAGGGAGGAACTACAAAGAGCGAATCGCTAAATGACGCCGGCGTTATCGGTTGTTGGCGCTTTGTTTTTTCAAATGTATGTTGATATGTACACTCAAATGTTGTGGTTATGAATTTTTGGACCACCGGGCAACAGGAGATGTACAAATTCACAAAGTTGTTGGGGTGTGTAACACATCCCGTTACCAATATACATATATATGTACATACTAAGTAATGTATGTACATGCATCGATAACTGCACTCTGTTACTTGGCTTTTACATAGGTGTTAGTATTTTACCAAACTCCTCAACAGCCGTGTGGCAGAGCATAAAAATGTACACGTGCTGGATAATATAAATGAGTTTGTTGTTGTGTAACTTCCTTCCTTCATACTTTCATATATGTGTTTGTATATACTGCATGTAAATATGCATTAGTACGCTCGCTTATGTGTTTGCAAACTATTGTTTAATGACTGGGAGTGTATTTTGCTATTTGCGGTTGAATTTGTGAGCTTTGTTGGCGGTGAGGGGAGCGGGGTTTAGGTTGGTGCATCCCGGTTCAGTCGACTTATCGTCGTAATGCTGGTACGGTTAGCCAGTTGGATTGTATGGTTGTTTGCAACACGGTGCACACGAACTTAATATTTTATTATTTCATTTTCGTAATCGTTTATTGTGGGTACGTCTGACGTCTGTGGCATACAGGGGTCTCAAATCTACATTTCAGTAGTACGGAGATACTTTTGGATGTGTGTGCTCTTATTTACGTACATAAGTTCATATTTATGTATCGAGGTATATTTTGTTTTCAAGTACGCCAGCTTTGAATATTTAAGGGCTATCTTTTATAATTTACTTATTTTTATACCCTGAACAGGGTATACGAGTACGATTTTTGCCACAAATTACACCTAGAAGAAAATGGCGGCGCTCTTCTGCCTGTCCGTCTGTCTGTATATACGCGAACTAGTCTGGTGTCATACTGTATAGCTGCCATATAAACTGACAAAACCAAGGCCCTAAGGGACTAATTTTTAATTTTACAAGAACTCTTCACGAAATTTGGCATGGATTATTGTCCAAGGCAATGATACATTCTGCGAATAAATTGTTACAATTACATGTAAGTAACATAGTTGCCGCTGTCATATAAACTGACAGGTTAAAATCAACCGAAGTTAAAGTTTTTAGGAAGTAATTATTTATTTTTTACTATAATTATTTAAATTTAAACATCTAAGGCATTTGCATTTATATCAGTTTTATTTCAAAAATATTTTTGGCTTAGTTTTTAACTATGCCGATTATTTTGTGACACATTGTCTCGTATCGAATTCTTACAAACAGAGAAACATGCATACAAAATAAAATAAAAAAAGCTGCGGTGTATGACCACTTCCTTAACAATTAGATAAGGAGTTAATTTTTTTGTTTAATATTCAATTTGTTTAGAATCTCTTTTATTAATAAAATGACAATAACTAAATTTGTTGACATGATGTTGTTGTTTTTGCAGTGAGTGGCAGTTTAAATCAAAATTTCAATAGATTATTATATGTTAGATATTAGTAAATAATTGGTTTTAGAATATTTGCGACTCAAAAGTCCATCTTATTAATTTATATCCACAATATCATCCTTTTCACACTACAATTCTCACAACGGCAACATTGCATACAATATGTGTCAATAATATCTCGGTAGTGCTTCAAATAAATACAAATATTGCCGCATATAGGCATGAACGCAAGAGCAGCGCGTCTACCTATACATAGTTGTGTGCATGCAAAAATTAAGTTGTTGCTATTGTTTGTGTTTTATTATCCCGCTGTCGTCATAACTTATTGTTTCTTTCATTTTCCTCTATTTGTTGTCGTTTGTAAACATCATCAAAGTGCGCCACTAGCAGCTACCTTATCAACAGCTCCTCTTTTCCACCAACCTTTTATTACAATTTGTTTCTCTTCTCCTCTTACTTCGCGCGAGGTGAGTTAGATAAATATATTGCTCTCATTATACATATATCACTTTGCTACTTACTCTCGTATGTTCTACTTATACTACATGTCGCGTTATAGGTAAAATAAATTGTTGTCATCTTTTTCTTACACATTCGCTCTCTTTACACCTTCTCTTTTCGGCATCCACTGCTGTCATTTGCTGCTCTCCTTAGCGGTCAGGGTGGTATTGCAGCATTATTTATGATTGTTCACATCCTCATCGCCCATCGTTTCTTCTCATGTCGCTTTTGCATTTGATTCGTTTGCTTGTTGCCATTCGAGATTGGTTTCTTATTCACTCATTCATTAATTTTATTTGTCGATTTGTATTTTGACATCTCTTCATCTCTGCTTGTGTTTATTCACAGGTTTATTTTTAAAACGTGCTGTTATTACTACCGCTGTCGCATGTTATTATTATGATTATTGTTATTGTAAATCTCATATCACTGCGAGAGCGCATGGAAAGTAATAGCAGATTCATTATAATTTCACTATAATATGAGGTGGTGACCCCATAGTTCCCCGTACTAATGCTAATGTATGCGTTGTCTGTTTTTTTTCAGCCAAGTTTTTATTGGCCTCTTTTTATTTGGGTATACCCTTTACAAGTGGATTTAATTAGCTTGATAGGCTTTGTAGCCTTTGTTGTTTTGGCGCCAGTTAAAATATTTAGATTCTCTAATCAACTTCAATGTGAATAAATATTTACAGCGCTTGAAAAAGTTACCCTTTGTATTTTGTATGAAACGGAATTTTTGAGAAAGCAATACATACATACATATATACTATGTGTTAAGTTGACACAAGATTTACAATTACACAGTCGGTGTATAGAAGGTCGCCTTACTGTTGATTTCACCTGTTTTAAATACATAAGTTACCATATGTTGTTGGTAATCATTCAATAATTTTATTTTCCAATGACATATAAAACATTTTTCCTGTCCGAACGTATTGTTTGGTCGGAATAATATATCTTATACTGCCATACGAACTTACTGATCAACATTAGGGTAAAGATGTTTTTTATATCTTTTTGTGCTAAAAAATATGTACCTGTTAAGGGTATTAAAGCTTCAGTGCAGCTGAAGTTAACGTTTTTTTTTGCTTTTGTTTATTGATGAATCAACTTTTATTTTTTTTTTCTTTTTCAATTGATTATTAAGAAGTTACTAACCCTAAATCATATATTAATATCTACAAAAGTAATAATTCAAATAGTAAATTTTGATTCAAATCATTATTTTAAACACCTTTTTAACTAAACACCCATACAAAACTTTCTCTTCTTTGATGTGCTACTTCTCTTCGTTATCTATTCGTTCATATAAACATATTTCTATGCAAAACTTTTCACTCTGCCTCTCCCGATTTTCGCTGTTTAATTTTACTCAATATACTCGTACTTACATATATATTTTTTCAAACTACCTTTTATAGCCGTGCTTTTGAAAAAAATATCTTTCTGTCAACATTCGATTTAATCTTCGACGTTCTCGTAGTTATAATTCATAGCGCTCATAGGCATATCAATTTGTTTGTTTAATTGTTATGTGCTTGAGACAGTGGTCTTAAATCAACATGTTTATACATAGTCTGTTTAGTTTATTTACATTGTTTTACAATTTTCCATTCGAACTACTTTTCTTCACATGAAGAAATCTACCTCGTACCCGTTTTCAAATTTTTCCACCGTCAAAAAAGTTTTAATGCCGTCATTGTACAATAAGGAAATTATTTTTCGTTTTAGTCATTTTTTTTTTTTTTTTTTTTTTTTTTTGTACAGAAGGTGAGCTTTTTTATCTGGCATTGACAAAGCGCAGTTGCTTGGCAATTCCACTAAATAAATTCCTTATCGTTTAGTATTATTCTGTTTAAAAAGTAAAATCGCTTCGCACTGAGCATGCTCGGTGAGAGGAGAGACTGTAAAATGTATATAAACACTGCAGCAACCCACTAAGTCTCTTATAAATTGTTTTACATGTTGCTGTGTGTTTTTTTTTCGGATGCACATTTTTGCAATTGTTAATTTCTCACTTGCATTTGCATACACACACTACATATGTACATATATGAATATGTGTGCATCTGTTTAGGCATCAACTTTTGACAGTTGTTTACTTATACCTATTATTCGTTCTAAATAGCCTCATAGTTGAATAGTTGAACATTGTTGTAGGCACATGTTGGAATCATTTAACTGATTTTATTTGCGCTTGCATACAAACATACATATTTAAGAGCGTGTAATAGTGTATATTTTGTTTGCGCAAAACCAGCTAGTAACTTGCGAGTATTTCAAAAATTCAATATTTCGATCCAGGTGTGTTCTGCAGTGGCATCCACACACACATACACATATGTACATATCGGAATAATGGCTAGATTCTGGAGTATGCTGTGGGCGTTAGAATTGTAACGAATTTTCCTCTGGATTAAGCAATTATAAATAATTTTTCAACTGCCGCCCAATGCTTTTACGAAATTTTTGTTAATTTTTGGTTTATTTTTATTTTATTATTTTTTTTTTTCATAATATTTGTAGACATTTTACAATAATTTCTAATAACACTTTTTCTTTTGTAATTTTTATTGCAGCAAACCAAGCACTTTGGAATGGAACATGGGAACGTGGTCTTACATACGAGTGCCGCTCACTACTATTCAAAGCTTTGCACAACTTAATGGAACGGTATTTATAATAATCAAAATTTGTTAATTAAATAATTATATACAATTTTGTTGCAGGTTCGTGCTGACCAAAGATATTGTGCGTTTTGGTAAATGGTTTGTTCAGCCGTGCACTTCCAATGATCGCCTCTTTGGCCGAAGGTGAGCTACTACACATATATTAGAGCATACACACTGTTGTTTGGATAACCAATATAATGAAAACTTGCTGTTCCCGCACAGTTGTAAGGCAATAAGTTGCTTGGAAATCCTAAAGAAAATGTATAACAAGTTCTCTGTGGTTCTGTTTTGAGATACAACACGAATCATCGTTCAACTTGTTACATGTATTATTACAATATATATATATTTTCATATGTTGATTTGATATATTTTTTCTTTATAACTAAGTAAACACTTTTGCTTAAACTTCTAATTGACACATTGTTTTTGGTTTTCAGTTCTCAGCATCTATCATTCTCGTTTACGTTCTTTGTGCATGGCGACACGGTATGTGCCTCGATCGATTTGAGGGAACACCCTGCGGTGCGTCCCCTATCAAAAGAGCATTTAACAGAAGCGGCGGCGGCTTTTGCAGCTGCTGGCAATTCGCAAACACTGTCGCAATCTCATGAACATGGCAATGCTACAAATTTGCCAGAAGATGTGGCGAGTCCACACAATCCCAATAATGGCTGCGTTGCGGGAGACGGTGTCACCAACTCAAACTCTACCAACCCCTCCGCTTCACCTAAGCCGCGCAGGGTAATACTAGCGCCATTTGGTATGGCAGCAACACTAACCGGTAATAGCTTTAAAGCTACGGATCCAATGGCCGAGAAGATCTTAGAAGATTGGGCATCATTTTTCCCATTGTGCAATAAGGAAAATTCCGATGTGCCACCGGTGGTTGAAGTTGTGTCGGGTAAGCATAAAACATTTTTTTTGCGCAAAATTCAATATTAATTTCTGAAATCTCGTACAATTTTCTTTGCGGTCTAGGCGGACATAAAATGTATCATCCCTCAATTTATGTACTAGTCACTGATTTGGATGACATGGAGGAAATGGAAGCGGCTGCGTCGCAAAAGGGCTCATTGGGCACTACATCTTCGGCGGAGGCTGCCGCCTTAGCGGCTATTTCATCTGCGAATACAAATGACTTTACGGGCAACAGTCGAAAGCCAACATCAACGCAACAACCCGCTAGTTTGCAACAACAACAACAACAAATACAACAACAACAGTTGCACACTGTCACAACTGTAACAACAGTTGCCACGTCGTGTAGCCAAGCAAACAGCATTGGGGGTGGTGGCAGTAATAGCAGTAATGGCATTAGCAGCAATAGCAGTATTGCAATGGTTGAGCAACATTTGCATGAACTGTCGGCAAGAGCGCAACCCTACTATGACACCACGGCGAGCAGTTTTACTAGCAACACAACTAATACTCATGCCTCACCACAGGCGGCAACCGAAATGCCAGAGCGCGTATGGCAGGATTGCATAACGAATACGTTGCATGTGACATATGCGGCCAGCGTTGCTGCTACAGCAATGAGTACCGGCGCCACAACCGCGCAAATAACTTGTTCATCCCTTTCTACTACCACCGGCGGAGTATCAACCACAACTGCCACAGGCAGTGGTACAGTAGGTGGCGAGGATTGCAATTCCACCAGTGGTAATAATGGCAACAACGACAACAGTGCTGGTAGCGGTGGCGGCGGTGGCAGCAGTAGTGGCGGTTGTAGTTCCATGGACACGCAAAATGCCAACACAAAAGCCGGCGACGCAAATGAAATGGAGGCCAAACTACGAATTCAGCAACTGCAATTTTGGGGATTTGTTGATCCAATCGAAAAGGCACCCTGTTCATGCACAAAGTAAGTTCTCAAAGAAGTATATTATTACGTATAAATTGAATGATTGAAGTTAGTTAATTATGAGTCAATATTTTTTGAATTTATGATTTCGAAAATGAAACTTGAAAATTCACTAATAGGTGTATGTGATAAGCAGCACTTACAGTTAATAGTTAGTAAAACGAATAAGTGTCTATTAAATTTTATTTTTTATGATTCAGCTGTTGATTATTTTACAATTTTGAATGAACTAATTATTAGTTCAACGTATATTGTTCATGAAAAAAGTAAACAAACAAGTTCTGTTTCGCATTTATCTCGTTTGCCAAATCTAGCTTATCTTCTATATATGTGTACTGCATGAAACCTTCTGTATTTTACACACTACTCTTTCCCAAATAATATTAATTTGCTTTTTAATTGTAATAAGACTATAACCTCAAATGTCAAGTGTTTAGTTATAGAAATGTTACATGAATTCTGCTTTCTTAAAACTATGGGGCATTTCGAGTGCCAAAGTTAATTAATTTATTAGCTGTCTTTTTAACAACAACACATAAATCTCTACAAATATATTACAAGAAAAACGTAAATACGAAAACTGTTAGGAGAGCACAGGATAGAATACAACAACATAGTATATTTAGTGTAAAGAAACCAAAAAATTGGCCAAAAATTTTCAGACTTTCATCGTCGTCGTCGACACTATCCGTTCTCACACATACTACTTCTACTAGCAGCAAAAAAACTGCAGCTTCTACTACTTCTTTGTCAATGACATCCCCTATATATAGTGTTTCCGGGCCGGCTTCGTCAGTGCGTCTGAGCAACAGCATGATGATGGCATTGGGTGGCAAAATGCACACCGGCTCGGCGGTGGGATGCGGCAGCGGCAGCAGCAGCTACAACAATAGCCACCAACAACAACAATATCGTACAGCTACACCAACAATATTATTTTCGTCGCCATCAACGGCAACGGCAATGGCAACAGCATCATCGTCTTCGTCTGTATACCAGAGCAATGTAAAAAGTACCACATCTCGTACAACCGTGTGTATACCATTCCATCGGCGACAACAATATGACTTATACACCACCGATACCGATAACAGCATCACTACTGGCAGCGGCGGCGGCGGCGGCAGTAACTATATGAATACAAATCTAAGCAATTCGATATTGAGGTGTCGTAGCGAAAGCGTTAGCGATGGCGGTGGCAGTGGTGGCGTTTGCTTTGACGTCGGTGACGGTGCAGTGGACACAGTAGACGCTGCCGCAGCTGCTGCTTCCAATGGCATCACTACTATGCATTATCAAACTTCAGACACCATACCAAAGCAAAGGTTTGTGTTGTCGCTCTCTCTCTCTGTCTCTCTTTGTCTGTATTTCTCTTTCACTGTCTCACTTGCTCTTACCGCTTCACGCTCTTACTCGCAGTTGTACTCTTATCAACATGTATACACTTGCTCTTTATCCTATTCCATATCATTATTAACCGTGTTGTTTGTTTTTTTTTTTGGTTGGTTGGAAATGGACTTCAAAACTCCCACACAATTACTTGTCTGCTATGGTCCCACATACTCAACTCATTAGAACGCTATTTTCTCACACACTTAAAAGATGGTTTTAATCTTTGCATAAAAAATGGTGAAGTTGGAACATATTCATACTCCCTAGAAAATAACAAAACTACTTTTGGCAGTCATACATATAATTTATATATATATATATATATATATATATATACTATATACTATTATTATGGTGTAGCAACTCCACAATATAATTATCTGTAAATTAGTAACTGCATATCATATTTAGTTTTACAATATATTGAAATTGTTTTGATTGTACAAAAGCGCATACATATACAAATGTACATGCACACATATATAGTATTAAGTGAAGTTGAAGCCATAAAAATATAAAGAAATGAGGTAATAATAAGTTTTAGTTCAAAAAGTGGATAAACTCAGACATTTCACTTTTTGCGTTTATATGTATGTATATTACAATAAGGTTAATTCGTGTCCAATTTTTATGATTTTTTATTTGATGTAACAGTTAAAATCTATTTTTTAAACCAATGGTACATTATACTTGTAGTATGACATTTGAAGAACTGTGAACTCTGTTACATTTTCTTGGAGAAATATTAAAAAGTAGGGCAATGGCAGCATCGCAGAAAAATATTTGAATTGTGGTATCCCTCATAACTCGGTGCTAGATCATCTGAAATCAACAAATCAAAATTATATCGTTAGATAATATCTTTGCCCAAGTAACGCTTATGCGAAAAATTGGTTAATTTTTATTGTAAAATGAAAAATATTAAAAATATTTGAAAAGTTTTCCGGCGTTACCTCGTAAGTTTTGTATGGAAATAGTGTTCAAGTAGTGTTGAAATAGTGTGAGGGATACCGCCTTTGAAAACGTAAATTGTGGGGAAAACATTATTAGAGACAAAAAAATTTAAAACCTTGCTCCCCCTTTAAATACATTAAAACTTGATCAAATTTGATTCGAACTGGTCTATTTAAACCGCGTGCGCAAACCGAATCTATAAATATTTTGCCTAGATTTGCACAACCCTTTTTTATGTTCGAATGAAGCTTGATGTTTATATGTCAATTAGTGTGTGTTTGACAGCTGTTTGTTTACGACGCGAAAGGTTTGATTTTCCAATGATATCACGGCTGCGGAATTGTGGAAAATTTTGCAAAAGTGTTTTAGGGAGTCTTCTTTATAACGAACACAAGTATTTGAGGGGCACAAAGCATTCAATGAGGTTGTGAAATCATCGAAAATTTGTCTCATGTGAGTTGTCCATGCACCCACTGTTAGCGGTGACCACATCAAAAAAGTTAACAAAGCATCTCAACATCTCTTATCTCACCCTACATTCATTAAATACATCATTACTGGTGATGAGACGTGGGTTTATGAATATGATGTCGAAACTGCCAACCAATCTAGCGAATCGCACCCCGAAAATGAAAACCAAAATACGCTGAAGCCATTGAAGGCCATCCCAGGCGAATCTTATAACAAGTGTATGGAAAATTGGTTAAAGTGCAAAATGCCAGCATCGGCTCAAGTGTCTCTTTTGAAGTCGAAAAATAAATACTTGTTTAAAATGTGTTTTTATTTTTGTCAGTGCGGGTCAAATTTGATCAGATGGTATAAGTTTGCAATTTTAAAAAATTTAGAATTTCCTTAAAGTTTTACGAGTCAAAGCATAAACGTAAATAATCTACGCCTTCGTTCAATATACTATATAAGTTTAACATACTTTTCCATAACTATTTAATGGATTCGCTTTTTGCTGTCAGAGGTACCAACATACAACATTTTTTCACATAAATACTCGAAAAATGGAATAAAAAATTGGTTACTTGCTTAGCAGTTGGTGATGGTCACGGTATTTGCATGACTCTTTAATGAGAAATATTTCGTATTGCATATAATTATACTTGGCTGTAATATTTAGTAAGCATGTATTTATGTATATATATTTATAAAAAAATATATATTTCAAAATTAGCGAAAATTTGTGGCTATGGTTCGGTGTCATGCATTAAGTATTGAACATTAATTTGATTCTAGTTCATCACCGTCATAATGCACACAATCAAAAGTTACAAAATATTACTCTAAAAATGTATCCACACAAAGTAAAGACACATAAAAATCGAATATTCCATACTAAAGTTAAAAGTAGTATGGTTGTAGCTGAACATTTGCATAGACACTTTATATTATATAATCGTACATCAAAACTCTCAAAAATCAATTTAGTAAGGTGTTTGAATGCATAACAGCATACCAACATACATATGTACATAAATAGCATACATTTTGCTACAAAATAAAAATAAAAAATAACATACTTAAATTTCAATTCAAAACTAATTTTTATATTATATAATTTGTGTTTACAGAACTTTGAATCCCGCATCGATGACTCCGCACGACACACCGCACGGCGGCGCTTCAACTTATTCGCGCAACTCTGTGGGCGACTTGATGCCTGTGCCCTCGGTGGGTTCGCCTGGTACACCCGCACAATCGCCTCATCCGAATTCAACACTATCACAGCCGACGTCCGTACCACCGGCCGATCAAGTGAGTGCTTGAGGTTTATACTAATTCTTTTTACCAACTTTTAATTACCGACTAAATTTTCTTTAAATATATATATTTACTATATACTCTTGACTCCTTCGTCTAGTTGTTAACAATGAGCCCACGTGCACCACCATCCGTACCGAATTTGCAACAACCACCAACACCGATTGATCATCTCTTGGACAAGAATACACCAGCGCCCACACCCACCGATCAACATGATAATAAAAGCATCACAACATCACCCTATGTACGGCCTACGCCAAGCGTTGAGCCGCCACCCTCTGTGGAGGCGGGTAATGGTAATGGTGGTGGCTCGACTGGTGTGGGACCAAATGGACCTGGCAGCGTGCCACAGCCACCAAGTGTTGAACGTAGCACACCGACTATAAGCGGCCAGCAGCAGCAGCAGCAACAACAACAGCAACAAGGTTCACACCCCCAACAGTCACAAGCACAAATTATGGGCACAACAGGCTCGGCTGGCCCCCAATGTGGCACTATAAGCATTAAGAAATTCGAGATACAACAACCGTCGTTGACTACACTAAGTGCTGATCAAATTAAAACCGAACCGGGTTATGCGCCGACTCCATTATCAGGTAGCGGTAGTCGGAATGGTTTGCCAGTGGTTTCCATGTCGTCTGCCATATCGGCGGCAGATGCGATCAACGATTATTGGAAATCGTTTAAGATGCCAGAAATAAAAGTAAAGGATATCGATAGTTTCGCCAATGACGACTGCTCAAAATATAATGTACTGTATGATTTCACGTATCAGAATGCTTGGTGAGTATTTTTCGAATTGCTTTAATTCTATTACACATATATTACAGAGTTCATAGGAGAAATTGCAGTTCAGTTAATGCATATTTCTATCTTTAGACTCTAAGATAAACAAAAACCAGTTTTTATAAATTGCGCCTAATAGTTTGATATTCCATAGTGAGAGTATAAATGCAAAAATAATAAACGCACAAATATACATACATGTCATTCTCTTCTATAATAAAGCAGTTGTTTACAAATTTATTTGTATTATATAATATCAATTAACTTTCAATTTACCATTTTAGGGCGAATCATCCAATGAAACGTTCCAAGCTAAACGATGTGAGCAAACCTTGTCGCAGTATGTGTACCAAAAATCTCTATGAAGGTCATACTCACTCGAAACCGCTTATGCCGTCACCTGGCTCAGTATATGGTTCGCAGCTACTCTCTATAGATGCTTCCCTCAATTCGCTTACTAGTTCCGTCATGAATGCGTCGTCTGCGAGTGGTAGTAGCAGTGGCGGCTTGGTGGGCATAGCCGCACATTGTGGCAATTTGACAAATATCAAGGAAGAAAATGTGGGTAGTGATGGCAATGGCAATGGCAGCGGTTACTTTCGTGGTCTTGACATACAAACCACAGATGCGCTACAGGGTACAGCCTCGCCTTGCAAGGATGGCAAAAGTAGCGCAAGTGGTAATCTGTATACCGCTGAAGGCTTAAATCCGACAATGAACGATCTGGAACAGCTGTTTGAGACATCGAACGATGGTTGCGGCAGCGTGCAAATACATACACCGCCCGACTCGAACAACCCATCCAATGGCTCTACTGCAACGACCACAATTGATGATCTTAAGCGCAGCACTGCAGTTGCTGCTGCCGTGAACGCCAGTGCGGTCGCGATTGCTGCATTGCAAAACTGCACGAATACACCGAATGCCTCGAATAGTATAGGTAATAACGGTAGCAGTAATGGTGGCGGTACCGGCGGTTCCAGTATGGCGGAGGATCTGACCAAGATGTTTCCTACACCACCGTCACACGAACAGCATCATCCTAATTCCAGTCCGTGCCAAATGGACATTCAAATGACGGATCTCAGTGTAATTACTGCTGCAACCGCAATATCAGGCAGCTTGGATGCCGGTATCGGCGGTATGATTAAAATCAAACAAGAATATTTTGCCGAACTGGGTAGTCCCGTTGAAGAGCCAATTGAAGATTGGTCATATGTTTATCGGCCGCCGAAGCGTGCAAAGTTTGTGGGCTCATCCAAATATGCGCCTCTAACAAACCTACCTAGTCAAACGCTACCGCCATTGGCGATACCAACAAATTGCACTTATAAACCATCGTGGACAACACAGAAATCACGTGCTGTGGTCGCGGCACAAGCTGCGGCAGCGCAACAGCAGCAACAACAACAGTTACAACAGCAACAGCAACTGCAACAACAACATCAACAACTACACGAACTTCTCTCAGCAGCGCCGCGCACACCATTACAGCAACCGCGCACACCTTTGGGCCCCATACCATCACCAATGCACACCAACACGGTGCCCACGCCGTTAAGTAGTGGTGGTGGTGGCGCCGGCGGCGGAAATAATCTTTTGCTGAATCAACTAAACTGTCCGCAGGCAGCACTTACAAATACACCCGGCAGCACGAGCATGCAGCAAATGATGCAACGCGCCGGCATGTCACCGATATCACCATCACCCGCCTCGGTGGTGCCGTTTCCCATGATGCAACCACAACGGCATCCACCGCCACCTTATGAACAGGCTGTGGCCAGTCCAGCCACCTCAACATCCTCGTATTTAAATAAACAGTATCATTCGCAGGAGCATCCGCCAACACCGCAAAGCGTTGGAATGCCATCAACACATCTACCTAGACCGCTGAGCGCAGCTGGTAATCTGCCAACAACCGGTGTAGCGACTGGCGCTGTGATGGCGCGTGAGTTGCCCGAAGTTAGCTCTTTGATCGTGAATATTCTGCTGTATGACACGGCGTTGAATGTCTTTCGAGATCATAATTTCGATAGTAGCACTGTTTGTGTGTGTAATGCGGATTCTCAGAAAGTGGGTAATATACGTGGTGCAGATTCGGGTGTTTACGTGCCTCTGCCAGGTGGTAGCTTTAATCCATTACCGCCTTCAACAACTGCAAGCGGGAGTGCGGCTGTTGCCGGCATCAGCGGAAATAGCGGTAGTGGTGGTGGTGGTGGAGCTGCTGGAGGAAACATGCGCTTGTTAAGTGCCTTTGGCGGTGGCAGTGCTTTGGATTCACCAGCATCGCTGCCAGGAACATCTGGGCATACGGGATCAGGTTCATCTTCCTCTTCGAATACACCCGCCAGCAATCAACATATTACAGGGTACGTGGACGACGATCCGGTAGATTGTACCTGCGGTTTTAGTGCTGTAGTTAATAGACGACTTGCATTTCGAGCTGGTCTCTTTTACGAGGATGAAATGGAGATAACCGGTGTTGCCGAAGATCCCGCCCGGTACCAGAAACAGTCATTACCTTCCCTGATAGCAAATTTGGCGGCCGCCCTCACGCCATCTGCTGCAAAATTGACGTCCTCTCTAACCATTAAGGGCGCTAACTCATTGTTACCTGCACAAGCAGATAAGGCTAATCTTGTACAGCCGGACGCGCAAGCACTCCAACATGCACACGTCATCTTCGATTTATTACTTGAACAATGTTCCATCATACAAACGTCTAGCAGTTCAGTACACCGCGCCTTACAACGTCACCGCCATCGTTTAGCACGACAAAGCCGACAACCACAATCAGTGGCTGCCATCTCCAACGTATTAGAATTCGTGGACGCGAATGATGTAATGTGTTTGGCGCTTGAACAGGCGAGATTGGCTTTCGAAAGTAATCGTATGGATGTAAATGAATTTTCTAGCCAAAACCAACTCTCACCATTCGACCCCAGCCGACCTGGCGGCGCTAAACGGAATCATCAACTCTTTGGTGGCAGACTAACAGTACATAAGTGGCCGTACATTCCAGTTGGATTTTCACGCAGTAATAAAGAGATTGTGCGCACCATGAACTTCATACAACCAATGTTGCAAAATGCATTCCATTCGAAATCTCGCAGTGCGGCGGGCAGCAAAGATGCTACTTACACAGTAAGCGGACCATTGACCTGGCGACAGTTCCATCGTTTGGCCGGACGCGCTTCTGGCCAATGCGAACCACAACCGATACCATCGGTGATAGTTGGACATGACAAAGATTGGGTTTCAGTGGCACCACTAGCCATACACTATTGGGACAAACTTCTGTTGGAACCTTATGCGTATGCGCGTGACATTGTGTATCTAGTTGTGTGTCCGGAAACTGATTTTGTGGTGCAGAATACGAGAACATATTTTAGAGAATTGAGTTCTACGTATGAAATGTGCAAGTTGGGTCGCCACACGCCCATTCGCGGTTGGGATGGATTGTTGACGGTGGGTCCACGTTCACCAACAGATAATACACCAAATAGCACGCCATTGGACGATTGGTTGCGCACCTTAGATAATACCGTTATAGCTGAGAAAATACGACTGTATGCGAGCGCGTTTCATAATCAAATAGCGCCGTACCTCAATCGTGTGCCCGGCGACAAGACGTTGCTTAATCCACCTGAGAATAGCAGTTGCCAACCGGGAGCTGGCCGCGAACGTGGCACTAGTAGTCCAATGGGTAGCATGAGTTCAATTCACAGTTCAGTGAGTGGTGTTGATCAAGACAAAACGCATAACTCGCCCAAAATGGAGGGCATGGATCAACAACAGCAGCAGCAGCAGCAGCAGCAACTTCAACATCAGCAGTTGCAACATAAACAGCAACAACAGCAGCAGCAGCAGCAGCAGCAACAACAACAACAACAGTCTGCTGCCGAATCGGTCGACATGAAGCCAGACATCAAACCCGACACAAAGCCACCAATTGTACTTAGCGATCCTTTGGGTATGGGAGAAACAATGGAAGATATCAATCAACCGGCAATTGTGCTCTACGTAGTTGAACCTTTCACATTCGGTTCCGACTCATCCGAATTGGAGCGTTTAGCTTGTATAGCCTTGTTGCGTTGCTATGCCGAGCTATTAAAGACCATACCGGATTCGGTACGTGCTAATATCAATATTCAAATCATATCGTTGGAATCGATAGTTGAATTGGGACGATCACGTACGCGAAAACGTTTCTCCGACGAAATCCGATGCTTGGCATTGAACATATTCTCGCAGTGTCGTCGACATATGGTGCACACGCAGGCCGTGAAGAGTCTGACTGGCTTCGGCACAGCCGCCAATATGGAAGCATTCCTAAAAAGCAAAGACGACAAGAATCGGCAACCATATAAAATGTACACACCACCTTATGTGTTGGCGCCAATGCATGAGAAAAATGACAAGACAGACTTCTCCCGCCAATCATCCAGTATGCGTGCATTGAATGAACAAAAGTATTCGGTAATGTATTGCAATTATTGTCTGAGTGAAGATCAGAGTTGGTTGCTTGCGACCGTGACCGATGATCGTGGTGAGATGTTTGAAAAGATCATAATCAATATTGATGTACCGAATCGTGCGCGCAGACGTAAGGCGCCGGCGCGACGTGTTGGACTCAAAAAGCTGATGGATTTCATAATGGGTCTGATCTCACAGACAGCACATCATTGGCGGTTAGTTGTCGGTCGTATTGGTCGCATCGGTCATAGCGAGTTAAAATCGTGGAGTTCTTTGTTGAGTAAACAAAATCTACAGAAGGCTTCCAAGCAACTAAAAGATATTTGCAAGCAATGCTCCTTCATGTATCCCCCTGGTATACTCAGCGCCTGCTTGGTTACACTGGAGCCAGATTCAAAATTGCGCGTAATGCCTGATCAATTTACGCCGGATGAACGGTTTTCGCAGATTTCCATGCAAAACCCACTATCCACTCCACAAGATGTAACATGCACACACATACTAGTATTCCCGACAAGTGCCGTTTGCTTGGTAAGCCATCGTCAATCGTTTATATGTATATTAAGCAATCGCAATATACATACATACATATGTAATTTTGAAAATATTTATGATGAATGTATTTCTGTATTTTTATAGTCATTTACACGTCAATTTCAAAATGAGCCACAAGTGGATTTGGAAAATGATATCATATTCGATGAAGATGACGAAAATGGCGGCTTCACTGATGCTGAGCTCATGGGTGATCTGCTCGATTGGGATCGTAAGTATTTTTATATATAATATCTTGCATAGGGTATATTAAGTTTGCCACGAAGTTTGTAACATCTGTTGGAAATCTTATAAAATATATGTATATACATATATATATGTGATAAGCTGAGTCTATTTAGCCATGAACGTCTGTCTGTCTGTATATAAGCGAACTAGTTTAGTTAGTTTTTGAGATATCGTTCCGAAATATTGTGCATGTTCTTTTCTCCCCGCCGAACCACTATAAGATATATTTGCCATACAAGCTGGTCGATCAATACTAAGTTCTTGTATGGAAAACTTTTTTATTTGACCAATTATCTTTACGAAATTTGACATATATTATTTTATTGTATAACACTACAATTTTCGAATATACTGTTCAGTTCGAACCACTGTATCATAAAGCTGCCATACAAAATGACCGATCAAAATCTTTATTCCCACGACAGTCGGGACTACGTAACCGGAACGGACCCGGATTTTTATTCGGCCCAGGACTGTCAACTCGGCAGAATTCTGCCGCTACAACAACAACAATAACCATACAAAATCTAATTCTTATATGGAATAAACGTTAATTTTTTTATAGTTATTATTGTTGTAAGCTCACATATAAACTTATTTACTCGGTTTTTTTTTTTTTTTAGCTCAACCTGGTCGCCTATCGAATCACTGCAGCCCTGATCGCATGGAAGATAACCGTAGCTGGCCGAGCGCCGGTGGCAATAACTTTAACTCAGCACAGCAACAGGATGTTGAAGAAGTAATTTCACACAGTCACTATAGTTTTATATTAATTTGTATTAACTATATGTTTGTTTTGTCTTTGAAGGTGGGCTCAATAAATCAGCAACCGCTAGCCGTGGGCTACATGGTATCTACAGCGCCAACTGGACGCATGCCTTCCTGGTTTTGGGCAGCCTGCCCACATTTAGAGGATGTTTGTCCAGTATTTTTGAAAACGGCATTGCACCTCCACGTGCCAAACATACAGACAGCCGACGATATACTTAATTCGACAAATGCGCATTCGTCAGCCATAGATCATCCACTGGATTCCTCACTCACTGCCGATGTATTGCGTTTCGTGTTGGAAGGTTACAATGCCTTGTCATGGTTAGCCTTGGACTCCAACACGCACGATCGTCTCTCATGTTTGCCAATTAATGTGCAAATGCTTATGGATCTGTACTATCTGACAGCAGCGATTATGTAAAACCGAAATTTCAAACAAACAACGCAAGCCAGATTGTATATATATATATATATATATATATATATAAAGAAAAAGTGTCGTCAATTGTGTATTGTAATATATATGCGCTAAGTAGTTAATATGCAAGGAAATGAGTTAATGTGCAGTATTTTTATACGATAAATGTGCAGGATGTCGATAATGCGTATTCAATAATGATTGTTGCAATTTTAGATATTTTATTAGTTTAAATTAAAAAGTAAAGAAAAAACGTAAACAATACAAAAACGCATTCTAAACAATTTGGTCGTTGCAATTGTGTGTATGTTTCGAATCTAATTTTATGTGTGTTTTATATATTTATTATAATGTTTGATAGTTTATACTTTTGTGATATAAAGTTGAGGTTAAGAACCAAAATCAAATAATTTCATATATACACTTCCATATGCACACATGTAACAGCAAATACTTCAAGTTTTATATGCACTTCGTCATAATGTACCCAATGTGCCGTTCAATATGCAAGTAAACGATTTTCGATTCTTATATCCGTCGAATGTTCAAAAACGGTGTAAGCATTTGTGTGCTTCCGTTTGACAAACTTCCAGACTCTGATTTGCTTTGACAAATGTACGCCTTTTTTTTTATTTTTATTTTATTTTTTTTTTTTATTTTTTAATTTTTTTTATTTTTTTTATTTTTTTTTTTTTTATTTTTTTTTTTTTTTTATTTTTTTTTTGTCTATCATATATTTTTTTGGTTATGCAAACGTTCAACTGAAATTTGAATTATTTTTTAATTTAAAAAATTTATTAAAAATTTATTCAAATTTAATTAAATTTTTTTTTTTTTATAAAAATCTTGGCAAATTTAAAGGTTACCGACGGCACTGTAGCAGCGGTTTTTTTTTTAATTAAAACTTTTTTTTTCGGGAAGCATGGCGTATTTTACTAAAAAAGAATTAGGAGTGACTTTGCATTCGAATAAAAACGTTTCCATTCAACTATGTTTACCATTTTAATGCAAAAACATGAATTGCCTTATATTTCACACAAAATTTTAGATTAAATAAAAAGTAATATTAAAAAAGTTAATAATAAAGTGGAAAAATGTAAAAGCAATGACACAACAGTTTTCAATAATGACTAAGCATTATTGTTAGATATACATATGAATAATTATAATTTTACCACTTTTGTAAATACAAATAACTGTAAGTTGAACAGCAGGTAGACTTTAACGAAACAAACCAACCACTAAAATTATATTAAAACAAAAAATCAATGAACAAAACTAAACAAAAACCGATTATGCGCAAATTCATATAAGCATTTTATTAAAGTTGAGAGGCGGCTGGCCGCAGTGCCACCATTTGAGCGTCTCGAAGCAGGCGTAACAAACAATTGCATAATTTTAAGTAAAACTAACATATTTATCATAAGTAGTTACACACAATGATTAAAATCGAATTAACATCTTATAAGTTACATATATACTTATAGATAAATAGTGTTAGTAGTAACGAGGAATATTTTGTAAGACGATTTCATTTAAGTGTAGATATAATAAAATTATAATTTTATACATAAATGAAGTTTGCATACCTAACATGATGAGCAGAATGCACAGCAAAATGTTGTAAATGCTGAACTTAAATAAGGAAATTTAATACACAATGTATGTATGTAGTTGATAATTAGTATTAAATATTTTAAATTTAAGCATATTTAATGTATGGACGAGTTGTATAATAAAACAAAATATACATATATAAATATATATTTCTATATATACATACATATGTACGTCTGCATATATAAAATAGAAATTAAATATTTACAAACTAAATTTCACTGTCGTACCACACGTGTGAAATTATTGCCGGTTCAGTTATCAAATACACACATGTATGTATGTATGAGCGTTTGTGCGTTGAAAATATTGTTAGCATAGTAAATGTAATTGTAGTGGAAAAATTAAATAAATCTTGTATGCATGTGTGTGTGTGTAAATTACATAAATGAGAGGAGTCTGAGTAGGAGTTGTAGCAAAAATGCAAAATTTATAAACTATCAATTTGTGCATGGAAAACACACACAAAAAATTAAAATCTAAGCGAAAAGCTTTCAATAATTCACAATTTGTTAACACATTTATTTATTGAATATTTGTATATATAAATTATTCTTATAAGACAACATTATGTATTATGCTAATGCACAAAACTACATTAACTGTATTGCACGCAATATACCTACATAACTTAATATGTGTGTGTGCATTTTCAGCGAGGTTTTTAGTTGCGCCTGCAATTTAAAATTTTTAGAGTCAAGTTTTTTTAAGATTGATATTACGGTTTTTGTGTGCACAGAGAAGGCATGTGAAAATTTACAGAAATTTAAAAACAAATCGAAAAATAAATTTTTTTTATTTAAAAAATATGAAATGTTTATTTTCAGATCAGATTTTTATTTATTTTGTGTTTTTAAAAATACGTTTTTTAATTTTTTGTTTCTAAAAAAAATTTTTTTTAATTTGTTTTTAAAAATATTTTTTTTAAATATGTTTTAAAAATATTTTTTTTTAATTTTTTGTTTTTAAAAATATTTTTTTTTTAATTTGTTTTTAAAAATACTTTTTTTAATTTGTTTTTAATTTTTTGTTTTTAAAAATATTTTTTTTTCTTTTTTTAATCTAGCTATTTTTTTGAATTTTTCTATATATTTTTAATATTTTTATTTATTTATTTTTAATTATTATTATTATTTTTTATTTATTATTTTTTTTTATTAGTATATTTTTATTATTATTTTTTTTTTGTTATTATTTTTTTATATTTTATTGGTTTTGTATCGTAGCACCGTTTTGTTAGCATAGTTTTTGTTTGTTTTGTTGCTTAGCGTGAGAAAGCATTCATAGTAAATTTAAAAAATGTCGAAAAATATAAATTTTTATTCCAAGTAAAAAAGGAATTTTGTTTATAGATTACTGGTTGTAAAACAATTTTTTTCTTTTATTTATTATTTTTTCTTATGTTTGTTTTTATTTTATTTTCTGTTTTTATTGAGTTTTTCTTCCATTATCTTTATTTGTATGTTTTTAATTATTATTATTAATTTTTTAAATTATTATTTTTTTTATATTTTTATTTTTGTTTTTTTTTTCTTATTTTTAATTTTGTTTTTTTTTTCTTATTTTTAATTTTTTTTTTCGATTTTTTTGTTGCATTAATTTTTGCAGTGTTCATTAATTTTCGTTAATTTATGTCGCAGCTCCATTCTGTTAGCATAAATTTTTGTTTTATCAAATGCAACACACTTCTCTTTAATCCTGCCACAACCACACTCACTTACTTTGCAATCATTTTCTCTTCAGCTATTTGTAAATATACAATGTGGTATTTGTAAGCGAACAAACAAAAATACTTGTAGCTCTTAAGGATATTTCGCAGCTTTGCTGCATTTCATTTACAAAATGTAACTCCTAAAACTGTTTTTTTTTTTTTAAATGTAACTGTGTGTGTTTGTGCGTGTGTTTGTTTGATGTGAATTATGAAAATGTACAAAGTGTAGTTTAAATAAAGGTTATAAACAATTACTAGCATTATTGCAATATTGTTGCAACGGTCCGGCAATTTATCGTATTATATTTATATTTTGTAAATATCAGTCACAGCAGCAATAGCAGCGAGCTAACGGAGCAAAGCATAAAATTAAATAGCAATACATATAGTGCTGGAAGCACTATACACACAAATATAAATATTTATACTAAAAATATGTAATGAAATTATTTAATACAATTGGAATGCAAATGCCTGAAACTGTTAGTTTGCAGTGTTCAGCAATATAACGGTTAATTTACATATAAGTTAATTTTATTTTACAACTATTATAATAAACAAATTATGCAAAACTGCATGCATATATACAAATATCATTTAAAGACGTATTGCTTAACTTTAAATACATACATACACATACATACATATATTTCTGCATAAGAATTTTTATATTTTGTATTTAGCTACTAAATCTTAATTCTTAAAATGCGCATATGTTTTGTAATATTATTTGAATATCATAAATTTTGGGTCCAAACTTCTCGTTTTAGTTAATTTAATTTAGTTTATTTTTTTAATTACACAATTACCTAAGTTTGTTATAAAAAATTGTATGAAAATAGTTATGGATTGTAAACGTTTTGTTTTATGTGTAAATTACTTGTATTTTAAACATGGACAAATTTATAAAACAAAAAAATACAGCATATATTTTTAAACACACATACATTTGTGCATGATTTTCATTGGTTTAATTTTTGATAAAAATAAATATTAGTCAGTGGAGGATGTTCATCCATAATATATGTATACACATATATGTGTGTATGCAAATTTTATAAGAATTTCGCGAAATTTTGAGAAAAGCGAAATTTGGCATTCTTCATAGAAATGTTTCATAAAACTCAAAAAGAAAAAAATGTAAAAGTTAAGGATGTGTTTTAAATAACTTTTAAACTGCTTTTCCATGTGGAAAACACTAGTGGCGTTTATGGCTTCACACTGTAATTTGAGGTTAGAATAATTTTTAATATTTTACTATTTAGTTGTATACTTACTGGCTTCTCATAAACAAAATATTTTTATTTAATTACAATTCTATTAATAACAAATGAAAATTACGGCTGATTTTCAATAAAATTATTAAATTTAATATTTTATAAATTTCTTTCTATTTTTTTATATTTGTACTTTTAACTTGTTTTTATTAAAAACTTTAATAAAATTTTTGCCTTTTATTTTTCTTAGACTTTTTAATAGTTTTTATTTTTGTTTTAATAGTAATTTTTGTAATTTTTAATTTTGTTTTAATAGTAATTTTTAATTTTTATATTATAAATTTTTAATATATTTTATCTAATTTTTAAATTTTTATTAATTTTTTTATTGTTTTTAATTGATTTAATATTAAATTTATGATAAACTTTTTGAAATAAAATAATTTTAAATATGTTAAATGTTAAAATTAAACAAAAAATGTATAAACACATTATTTTTAATTGTTATTTTTATTTTTCATTTTACTTTATTTAATAAATAATTCTTTTGAATTATATTTATAATATTTAATTATTTCTTCCCTTTATTATATTTTTATTTAAACAAATATTATTATCTGTGAACTTTAAACAAAACTACTTCTGTGACTCACATAGAAAACTGGAATATTTGAAATACTTGTTAGGAAGAATGTTCTCTAAACGACAGATTTACACAGTAATTAGGGGAAAATTGTAAAAAAAATACTATAACTGTATAAAAATATTTCAATTTACAGCTTAAGAGCTACTTTCTTATACTAGTCGAGATAAATTGGTTTTTTTAATTTTTGCAAATAATAAATATACATACATAAGTAAACATATTACATAATATCATCAATCAACTAGCTGTTTCTAACCTCAATTGATGCAAAGCTTAATTAGGCAATTTTTTTTCTAAATTTCCGAAGTATTGCTCACTAATCTAGTGTTTTTTGAAATGCAATATGACAGACAGATTTTGTATTTTATAAGGTCTTTCTGTATTCTATATAATAATCGAAATCGGATTGATTTTGTTTCTTGTTTATACGGGATTGAAATTGTATGTGTGTTTAACAAGTGGTTTCAACTTGGCAATAGCCAAACATGCTTGGAAACAATTTATGTGCAAAAGTATTATGTAGCATTAATTGTAAATCAAATTTTGCTTCCAAAGTTCAATATATGTATGTATGTATGAAGCGGGTTTGCATGCATGTTTGTATAAGGTTAGGTTATATTGCAGGGCTTTCTAGTGCTAGTAAAATTTACATTGAGTGTGTAAATACACAATGTACATATATACATATGTATATACAAGTTACTCATAAGTTAAATTTAAGTAAGAATATCTATATACATACATATGTAAATGGGTACGTAGGAAAAATTGCTTTTTTACGATGCAGTATGACGACATAGAATGTATGAACATACAACCGACCTATAAATACATACATACTATGTATATTTGTACATTTGAATATGTAATTAATAAAAAATTAAAAATAAACGAATGATTAATACGCTAATATATATAAAAATAATTTATTACTTAATGAGCAGAATTTTCGTTAAATTTTTATTCAACAGTAAAGAATGTAGTAACATGCCTACATAAGCACATCTATATTTGTATATATATGTATATGTATATATTTTGACAATTTTAATTATAATATTTATAAGTATTTTTGTTTGAAAATACTTTTGTACATATTTATCTAAGAAATTGTAATTACTTGTATATTTTAGATTTTTATTTCTACACATACATATATACTAGCGAAAGTTTTATATGTGTACTTATAAAAAAAACATGCATATGTATGTACATACATGACTCTGTTAAATAGTTATTAGCTATAAACTATTTTCGGTTGAAATGTTTTGTAAATATGTTTATTTGTAATTACTGAATATTAAAAGTTAAGTTTATTCAAAACACATACGGACACTCAAATGTATGTAATACAAATATTCACAGTTATGTGCAACAGAAAAACTGTAACTACGCTCATACCTATACACATCTTCACATACATATATATTATATATATTAAAAATATTTACAAATAAAACTAGTAGGCCAAATTATTTTTAAAGTCCTTGTGTAAAAACTGGAATATTTCACAGAATTGCCGCTTTCTATAAAATACTTGAATGCATGTCACGAATATCACAAGCATAAAATTACATACATACATACATGCATGCGTCGATGGAAATCTCGTTATTGCGGCAAATGCATCGAAGAGCAATTGCATTACTTATAAAAAAAACATGCATATATACAAGCATATAATAATATTTAGCGAAAAATTGGTATGAACTAAATAAACACAATTATATACATACTTACATGTACATATGTACATGCATAAAAGCAATGATATGCTTTGTGGTGTATTGACAAAACATACCATAACATTTAATATAAGTTGTAGTTTAATTACAATTAAGTGCAGTTTAAATGAATATATATTATGATTGTAACTATATGGTAAGTTAGCGTTTAAGTTAGGCATTTTTGAAAGCAAATACAATTTTTCAATATAAAATACTTATTATTGTTGTTGTTCATTTAAGGAAATGTAATTTAAATTGTTTAACGGGTAATGTATTTAATTTGGAAAGATTATTTTGTAATTTTTAAAAATAAGGAATGAAAATTTAGGAAGAGCAAATACTACTACTACTCAATTCTCACAACAACCGATTCTATTGTATTGGAATTGAATCGGATTTTTCCGGCTGTTATTTCGAGGATCTAACCTTGTTTGGATCGTTACTCGCTACAACAGCAACTGCTGCCCTTTTATAATTGATTTATGGTATTCTTGTGTGTCGTCCGTGCTAATTTGAATCAAATTTGAGGTATTTTAATATACCTTGGCGTGCTGAGTAAGTTAATATTGCAAGTACGTAGAATCATACAAATGTTCCGATGTTGTTGTTGTAGCGGCAGAAAACATCTCCAAGCCCGATTTATTGACTTCTGTTTGTTCGGTTGTATTTATCGTAGATGCTTTGGAAATGGATATATATAATGACCTAAGTAACTGCAAAAGCAGATAGAGACTAAGTTGATAGGGAAAATAGCCTCAGTCCGACCACAAATTCGTTTGATAACGAGAGGAGGACTATATTTAAAATTTGATTGCAGAACTAAGCCTTTACTTACTTGAGTAAATGATCAAACCTGTGTGTTAGTTGTTGTAATAAAATTTTTAAGTACACAAATTGCATAGTGCCTTTGTGATTAAAAGAGCACTCATTTTTGTACAAACAGTTATTCAAAAATTTCATATTTCTTAAAATAATAAATAAATTTTGAATTTTATTAAAGTGTATTGTAAGCTAAAATGAACAATCGTGGTTATCGATAGAAATAATCGTGTACACATTATATGAACACTGCGCACTATTGTGAATGATCGAATAAGCACGTGTATGATTTGTTTACAATTCGCAAAATGACATTTAATACATTTCTTGGTATCAGTCGGTGCTAGTTGGATATTTTAGAATATTTAAACAAAATAAGAATGAATAAGAGCGCACAGCTGTGTGAACCGATGGAGCAAATACCGGTGGCAAAGAGGAGGACGGTTGTAGGTCCATGGAAGGATGTGTACGTTAATACTTAATATATAAAACCGTGCTTAAATATGTGTAATAATTTGTAAAACTTTTTTAGTAAAGAATTCCGCAGCGTTTATGAATTCTTATTCGATGAAGACACCGATGTGGATCAACAAAAACGAGGACTAAGTCAAATTAATGTTTGGAGTTTGCGACGTAGTACACAGTGCCCAGCAGGTGTGCTCGCAACTAAAGCGCTTTTAGATGTACAACACTTAGATAAGGCTGAAGGGCAGCAAGCTGTTTCTGAAAGTCTTTTACAAACGTTGTATGCGAGCGCATTCACACGTTTCTTCAATTTTATGTCATCGACGATGCAAACACATAATATGCGTACAATGTACGATACGGCACGTATGCTGGGACTACCATCCTTTGTGGTAGATTTGCGACACATCTGTGCGCACGGACAAGTTCTACCACCCATTGACATACTGCGGACTTCCGTAAGCTATTGCTTGAATTGGCTGCGAAATTACTACTGGTTTCCACAATTAGAGTCAATGTGTGATGTGGAAGCGAGTAAAATACGTCGCAAGGATAAAACACTTTTCGAAGAGAATATAACTAAATTATTTATAATTTATGATGCAGCACTGGAATGTTATTGTAAAGGTGCGCATAATATGAAAAGTGGAAAACGGCATATAAGCGGCAAGCGGCTGGCACAATTGAGAGTATATTATGCTGAACGTAAATTGACTTCTCTAAAAGATACTCTCGAGTTAATTGTAAAGGAAATAATTACATTGGTCAGACGAGAAATTGGAATCAAAGATATGTCTGAAATTTTCATTGAAGCTCTATTAAAGATTAAATATTTTTTTACTATTGGAGGTAAAAATAATATTCTAAAAACTTTAAATATAATTAAAAATGCAATACCTAAATTAAATTTTTTTTCGCATTTCAAGAGTCTCACAGCGCTGGCGAACCACTTGAATTTATAATTGCTGCGACGCAGAGCTTTTTCCGCATGCTAGCAGTCCATGGCTTTATTGAGGATGTATTTTATAGTTTTATAGAATTGGCAGAAAATACGAACGTTTTGGAACTACGCCGAAATGGTGCTAGTTTTTGGGCAGTGCGAATAGCCGCTGGCTTTGTGGCGTTCAGAAAATGCAAACAAATGTATAAAGCTGAATTGGATGAGGTAATTTCCAATATAATCTAATTGCTACGTTTGTCTTCAATTAGTTTTTCTTTTACTCTTCACAGAATCCCAACACCAAAGATTTCGATTTCACTTCTTTGAATCAAGAAAATATTACGAAAAAAATGAGAAGGCATTTAATTTATGCAGGCGTCGATCTCAAATGTACACCAATTTTTGGGGACTCTATGCGTCGACCTTGGGTGTGGGTGGTTGAAAGAAATTTTGTTGAGCAAAAACTGCGCGATATAAATCAATATAATGCACCAATTATTAAAAGGTATATTAATTTATATATGCACTATTTTAAATTCACATAATCATACACATATGTATTTAGCATTCTGCCGCTGGTAGAGCCACCGCTAACGACATCGGAAATTCGGGGCATCTCGCTGCTTATTGATGCCTACTTTGGCAAGCGAATCGGTCTTAAAAAAAACGCCGCAAAACCAACAAATGAAGACGAGACAATACACACAGCAAGTGAACTATTGCAAGCGCTTGAAAAGCAAAGCAGCGATACTGAAAAAATGGATTGTGAAGTGACAGAACCAGTGGTAACTGATAAAGAGGAGTTTGGCATTTGGACATTAGAAAAAAGTAGGCATTTTATTATGTCGTTATAATATCTATAACTAATTATTATTAAAATATTTGCAGATGATGAATTAATCAATTGGGCGGTATGTCCTTTGGGGCGATTACCCTGGGACTAATAGTTAAATTGATCCTAATGATGACTAGGGCTATATTTCCCTGCACCATACACATGTGTATAGATAAATATTAGTGTTACATACTTATGAATGTTAATGTTAACTCTGCGTATTCATTAATTGAATATTTAACTAAATATAAAATATTTTGTATGTGTATTTAGTCAAATGGTGCTGACAGTTATTTACCTACAGTTAATTTAGTGTACATATTTTTCTTTTATTTTTCATTTGAAATAAAGGAATTGACTATACATGCATTTGTATGCAACAAAAATTTAATTATGTATGTATGTATTAGAGCTCTTAAAATTATTTGAATAACCCGAAACCCGTCTATTCGAATATCCAGTTCGTACAAATACCAACCCAATAGAGACATATGTTACGACTATTCGAATAGTCGTTCTTCTGCGAGTATTTGAATAAATGAAAATTGTTTGAAATCCAAGCAGTCTTTAATTGTTGACTTTTTCTTTTGGTTTTTTTTTGATTGAACGAATAGTCAACCACTAACGACTATCCGGATAGTGTAAGCCGAATATTACTCGAATAATTCCCTATTTGGTTAGTCCATTACGTACGCTTTTCCAAACACAAACTTGTAGTGCAGCCATTGATTGGGTCGTTGGTTCGAATACCAGCAGGGGTGAGTAAAGTTTTATATAATATTGTTTTTTATTTTCTTCTTTGATTTTTATTTTTTATTATATTTATTAAATAAATTTCCATAATTTTTACTTAATCAATATTCAAATAATAATTTAGTTATTTAAGTAAAACCAAATATTTCAAATAATGCAATTTTTCCACAAATAAACTCATACGTATTTTGTAAAGTCGCGATTTGTTGGGCTGCAGGTTCGATACCGCCACGTGGCATTAAATTTTATTGTTTTGATTTTTAATTTTTTGCTTATTTTTAATTTAAAAAATTTATAAATTTTACGAACTCAAAAAGCTATATAAGTCTATTTCAATTTAACACAGACAAAACAAATTAAAAATAATACAATTTGCTGTCATGCGCACTTTTGCTCACCTTATGCGCGCACACAAGCATACATGTATGCACATTGAACGCAACTGGCGCTTCTAAAATAAGACACATTGAAAAAGCAAACTGGTTTGTAGCAGAAATACGCAAGCATTCGCGTACGTATATGGAAGAAGAGCAATAAAATGAAATGTACGCAGAAGTAGGTGAAATTGAGTATTTGTTTTCGACTGGAAGGTTGGCATCTTCTGTAATCACGCTTCCGTGAGGTCGGATTGTGGGATGGCCTGAGGCCGGGAGTCCTGTGTGGTGGACCAGATCATGTTGACGGAACGTCCGCACTAAGCTTGCCATCAATATGGGTGTCAAGGAGGAGTCCTTGACATTCAGGTTGGCTAAGGAGGGATGAACCGGGCCAGGGGTGAAAACCAGCAGCCAAGAGTTCCCATGGTAGGCAGTAGTGGGATAGCGTACCGGAGTGAAATGCCACTACCAGCCTGGTCAATATGGTCAGACTGCAATCTTTTTGGTATTTTTTTTATTTTTTTCTTCTATTATAAATTGAAATCTACTTGGGAAAGATATTAAATTTTCAGATTAATTGTAATAGAAAAATATGAATTTTAATACAAAAATTATTATTTTTAAATAAAAAGTGAAACGGTCGATGTAGCAAAAAATACAAGTCACAAAAGTGTTCAATTAACTCTGGGTATCTTAGCTGAATATATATCCTGGCTGAATATATATGTTCAATATTATAATTTTTAGCTATTTTAGCTAAATTTTATTGTATGCTTTTGCTAAAACTATTTCTTAATTTCCTTTTAAAAATGAAATAAATATTAATAATAATAATATAACACGAAAAATAAAGACCTCGGTTTTATACTCTTGCAACATGTTGCTAGAAAGTATAATAATTTTGTTTACCTAACGGTTGCTTGCATCACCTTAAAATAATCGAGTTAGATATATCACCTTAAAATAATCGAGCTTATCTTGTACATATAAATGTTCAGGATGACCAGACGAGTTGAAATCCAGGTGACTGTCTGTCTGTCCGCATATTTCCCCCCCGCACATAGTTGTGTTGATATGTGAAGTACCTTTATGAAACTCAGAGATCATAGAGACCATAGAGGTCATGTCAAAAATCGATAAAAGCAATTCATTACCATCACTATCTCTCATATACCAAATATACGATTTTTAAACTTCTGATAATATTGGACATACTATAGTTTAATGCCGAAAATATGTGATATCGTTCTACGAATTACACCAACTCCCAAATACTACTTATATTGATTTCCTAACAAACCTAACGCTCAATATGTCGATCAGTGTATGAGGTATTCATTAATAAAATCAATTAATTGAAGGAATTTCCCCGGATTTGATCTTTGCAAGTTGCAAGAGTATCAAATGTTCGGTTACACCCGAACTTAGCCCGCCCTTACTTGTTTATGAACACTTTTGTGGTTCACTATATTTACATACTCGTACATATGTATGTATATAGACATTCTTGGAAGTTTAGAGCTAACATTTTTTATGTCTAATTCGACTGAGCGCGAATCTATCGAAGCGTATTAAGAATTAAAACCAATTATATATGCGATAATAATACTTATTGCTAATAATACATACATATATTATTAAACTAACGAGGTCAAACTCGTTTAAACATTGACTGATTAAAATCGATAATCAACCTTGGTTTTGTATTGATGTAGGCGTGGTACAAGATATTTTAAAGTTTAATAAAGTCAACTTAAACCTTGGTTAAGCTTGTACCACATGAATAAAAAATGGAATAGTAGCTACCAAATTCACCAAAAAAAAACACCATTTTTTAACATATGCTATTAAAACTAAGGGTCTCAGTCAGTTTTTCTTTAAGGGGTCTTTGGAGTTCTTTGTCGAGCCAAAAACGCCCTTTTCAATAATTTTTTTTTTCATATAAAAAATGAAATATTTTATTCAAAATTTTTACTATACCAAAGACACATATTTGGTAAAGATTTTGTGAAATTTTCAAAGCAAAAAATTTAAAAACTCGGTGATTACGACATCATTTCCGTCAGTTCGTCGAAAAAAAAGGTGCTTCCGCGCTGACAGCAGAATTTTTGACAAGATCATCAAAAGTAAAAAAAAAAATACGTGTTTGAGCTAAGACCATTATATAGATATTGGATATAGAAAAACTAAATTAAGTGAAAATCGTATTTTGGCAGACGTTTTTACAAAAATATGCAAATTTTGGTGAAAATTTCTCGACATTTTTTGTTTTTTAAATAGCTGTAATTGAACAAAAAAAATCCTCCACGCCAAGATCTTGTAAATTTTATCTTAAAGACCTGTGTAAAATTGACAACCGACTTTGAGTCAGTTTCGAGAAAAACGCGTTTAAAGTTTTGATTGATTATATAGCTTACCTCCAGCGCGCAATTTTCAAAGCTGCATCTTCATAACTATTACTGGTATCAAATTAAATTAAAAAAGATAATAAAATTTTTTTTTTTGAAAGCCGTGAAACCCAGCATAAATTTTTAGCTGCAGGCTTGTTTATTTCATTCATAATGTGAATCTTTAATATGTTCTCTAAACGCCTTTTAAAGTATAATGTTCAAGTCAAGGAATATGGTAACATTTGCTATTTTTTCGATAGGTTAGAGGCATATCCTGCGACAGACTGTAATTTTTAGAATGTTTCCTAAAATATTTTATATACTACAACAACAACATATAATAACTATACAAATCGAAATATTAATAGCGGTGATTCGTTTTCTGAACTGTTACCAGATCTTACTCGTCAAGCCATATACAAAATCTTTTTTTGAAAACAATGATATGAAATTGTCGGTAATGCTATTTCTAAGCTTCTATGCAGTAAAAAGTAATGTCGAACAGGCTTGTCATCTGTCTACATTATACTCGTAGTTAAGTAGTATTTAAAATTATTGTTTATTTATTTTTTTACATCAAATTCGCAATTTATTTAACATTTAATTTTCTTGAAGGTTGCGCAGTAATAAAAAGTACGAACCACTCATTCTAAAAAACTGTAAAATGAAAGATATTAGTAATTTTATTGCTAATAATATATTAATATTTTATACTATAAAGAGATGCTTATTCAATTACCGAAATCAAGGTGGCCAAATTCATCAGAGTAAACCAAGATACCTCCAATTTAAAAAGTCGATTAGTCCTCATAATCATCATGCGTAGAAGTTGTTTGAATTTACCGCTTTCTTCATACCAATTGCAACAATAATAGGCTAACGGAATCTCTTCGCTCTTTTAGAGTAATAAAATAGTTCTCTGGTATTTTTGAAAATAAAATATTTTTTATAATTAATATTTACCACAGTTGTTAGTTGCTGACCGTTATAACAGTATAGAATAATTTGAGTTCCTCCCGCCAAAATATAAAGTATCTTACGAATAACGATAACTATGCTGGATTTCTAAAGATTTTAGAAACATATTTGTTTTTTGTTTTTAATTAAAAAAAAAAAGTTGTTTAAATTTGTATTCAATGTTTTTTTTTTGCTTTAAAATAAATGATTTGCGTTTACTTACTAAACCGAAACTCATTTCAAACAGTACAATACCAAATATAAGCAAGCTCAGTACGAATTGTAATAAGCTGACGTGTTTGAAGCTTTCTTGAATCTGCTGCACATAACTGTTTTGAAAATTTATAAGTTTTGTTAATTAAAAGCGTTTTTCATACTCAATATATTGTGGCTTTTACAAATTTATTCGCCGATAAGTAATGATGGTATAACGCAGATACTCAACCTTCCTCGCAGCCGGTATGAGTGGTGAGGTGGATTGTAGCACCAGCAAATTGTGAACCCTCACCAAGCCAACCGCATGCTGACATAGCACGATGAAGAGGCCTTCGAAACTGACCGCAGCTGCGGGGATTCGGGGTTAACAACAGATGCTATTTATTTAATTCATATATACTCACACATGCCAGAGACATAATTAGCACTGCTGGTGATATACATTTGCAATGGATAATAGGGGAATGTCATGCCTTTATCTACCCAAAATGGATACAGTGCGGGAAGTGCTGAAATTATGCACAAAATATGTATAAAATAAGTAAAGTGTTTTTATTTGTTAAGTGAACTAATTATTTGTTCTTTCAATCCAAATGATAAGCTAGGGTTTTAAAAGTACACAAGGTTGTCGATTTTCTAGAACCATGATTGCAATCGAATCATCTTTCGATTTTAATTTTTTTTATCAGATCTAAACTATAGCCCAACAGGTAAATGCAACTTGTCACTGAAAGCATTCGGAACAGTGCAAACGTCATCCTCCCGACGTCATACTTGACGATGTTGGTCTAGTACGGATTACCCATTCTCACGGGCATGAGATTCAGCCTTCGATGCTTCTTCCTCGTGTAAAAAAATGTATATGTA